AGGTTAAGCCTAGTGACAGCCATGGATTATAGAGAAGCACAATACTTAAATATAAATAAGGTTCAACTGTTTGCTGTCGCGGTTGTAAAAAAAAAGGGAGGAAACCCAACTCGACTGTTTTTGATGTAGCTGATACAATGATCAAGAACGTAAAGAACAAAAAGACTTTAAAGACCCTGTTATTCTCTCTTGATTATCAGACTGATAATACTGTAAGAAAAAAAAAAAAGCATGATTTACAAAGGACATGTTATACGATGTAATGAAAACGACACTCTCTTTTGCCCCAGTAATTATACATACAAACTCTGTATTCGGTGAGGAGTACATGTGTCAAATAAAATGAACTTCGAACCTCGTCAAGTATGATTTTTGCTTTTTTTGTGATACATAAATTGGCTTACACCGGATAGTTTTACCTATTAACATCCTTGTAGCTCCTTTGTGGCGTGTAGTTTACCATTCTCATATACTACTTTACCACCAGATACCCGTGTATGTTTTCCATTTCCTCCATCCACGAAATTAAAAGCGATCCATTTTTATTGTTCTTACATCACGGTAGATTTATACGGAATCCATCGGTCATAATCACCAAGTGGTCTTTAAAGAGATGAATAAACTTCCAGATAACATGATAAAATAAACGTATATCATTTTCTACGAGTGTATATATATAAAAGTCCAATCTTCTGCTTCAGCCATACGTATGCTTTAGTAATAAGTTGATGTATGGGTAGCTTTCATGTTATAGGGTTTACATCCAGGCTTAAGACGAATCTTTGATTAAGACGGCTTTATAAAAGAATAAGTATCACAACCACATTTAACACAATATATAACTCACCTCAAATAATTTACATCTTGACAGCCTACTCATGTGTATGTGCCTGTTGATCACACATAATTCAAGTATAAGATATGTCATGGAAGTGCTATGACCAAACGTTTTGCAGGTAATTCCTCCAGATTGAACTCCTTTGATTCTTTCTTTGCTTTGATTGTGTTACTATTGTGTAGCTGGTCATCCAGTGTCGTTATGTCCTTTAAGTACTATTCATCATGCGTAGTGGAGTGGTTCAATACAAAAGTGAGGGGAGAATACGTCGGTTTAACACATAATAATTGGTGAACGTCGTTGTCCATGGAAACGGAAAAGATATTGGAGCGTTTTACTTCCCGTGTTGGTTTTGTCTTCTGTTGGTTTTATGCTTATTGCTGAATAATTAAAAACGAACTCCCAGAACTTTCTCCAAATACTGAAGAGGTAGAATATACCACCTGAGGTGCAGGTGCAGCTGAAGCCGTTTCACGTCATAAATTCGGAGAAGTGTAATTATCGGCCACAGCCTTAGGAGTGCTATGGGTTAGAAATTGAACGCTGCGTTTCCTTCTATTTTTGTACGCTGCGCAAAAAAAAAGGGCTAAGGAATGGCCATCATCCCAAGAGAGCGTAACAGATCTTTTTACGAACAGCATTAGTATAAGTGTGCAGTTTTCGTTTCTTTGATAGGCTGTCAAGTGTCTTGACGCGACAAAGTACTTTTGCTTTAAGAAAGGTTTTGCAAAAACTGATAAAATTATTTGATGTCCTGTTGTGACTTGACTATTCAAGCGCCAACAAAAAAACAAACCCCCCCCATCTTTTATTTTCTTTTTCTTTGCCCACATTCTCGCCAGAAACAGTGTAGGAAGCCTTCCAATGTCGTGTTACCTTTGAAACGAGATTAAACAGGTAATCATACAAGGATGCTCGCTTTTCTTTTTGTTCTAATTTCGTTTTGAGTTTCCCACAGTTTAAAACATCTTGTACCGTTTATCAGGTTTTTGGCCTTCACTTTGATAAATGTTTTGGCCAATTGATCATACTAGTGGATTAACAGCGTGAAAATAATACCAGCAATTTGAACTTGAGACCAGAGAACTTTCAACTGCGACAGATGGTCGACAAATTCTCACGATAGTTACCAACACCTTTGGGAAAGGATCGCCAAACGACAATTTGGAATTATAAGCAATTGCTGTGGGTTGTCTATAGACGATGAAGTTAATGATAAAATTTTATTGAGGATCATGAAAGAATTGAATGACAATCTTCACTTTATGAGGTATTTATTTACAACAAGAAGTACAATAGGTGTAATCGGGTAAAGGAGAGCAAGAGAGACAAGATCAGAAAATATTGGTGAGATCAAAAATACAGCAAATTCAAGAAAAGAAAAGCAGAAGGTGGATACGAGATCAAGTATAACATGAGAAGCATAACACGAGAGGGAAAATGAATACGACGCATAAAGATTATTTTGTGGATAAGGGTGTAATTTACAAGGAAATAGAGGTATGTTACGGCTTGATGATATGAGGAGAACAAGAAATAAGAAAATAAGGTGCTGAAAAAATAATATGGAGGTACCAATAAAAATAATATATATGACTACTGTAAATATATTTTTAAATGTTTGGGAGATTGATGAGGGAGGAGTTTAAAGGGGTGTGGGCCAAAATGGTGTAATCTCGAGAGTGTACATTATGTAAAAAGTTTCCTCACAGGGTGTACTATAAAAAAATGGCAACGGATGTAAATCGGTATATATAGAACGAAGAATGTGTTTGTTTTCTTTTCTCTGTTTTTTTTTATAAACTTAAACTGTGCTTGAGGAGGGGGATCTTTCAATTGAAAGCACAAAAGCTCTAATAACTGAATCCAAGTTATGACAGTTGCTGTTCTTAATACAAGCAATTATGACAGGAAGTCAGCAAGCCCATTTGTGAAAAAAGATAGACCATTTAATAGCACCTACATAAGGCTTTACGATACGGTGTTTTCGTATTCTGTACGCATTTGACAATGACGAGAACAGAAAAATAAAGAAATATGTCCTCATTAACTGCTTTCAATACTAAAGATGCTTAGTTCTTCATAAATGAGCACCTGTTATTTTACAATTAGCTTATATTTGAGATGTTTTCAGCTTTATTCAGGACAGAAACAATCACAAAACAAAAGTTGCAACAGTGGCAGGAGGAGCAACTGATAGGTGGTTATCGGATTAACTAACCTTAATTATTTTGATTTATAAATTTGAATATAATAGTTTTATTTTCATATACCCGTATGCCGATATGTGTATGATTACAAAGGGATTTTTTAATCTACACAATAGGTACGTCTTTTTTAAAAGGTACTGATTTTTATTCAATGGTGTAAAGCATGATTATTCAATTGTGTAAAGCATGCTTTACAACGGCATTCCTCCATTTGATCATGTTAGGAACTTCTTCAACATACTTCAAGAGACTTCTTGCAGTTTTTGGACATTCAGATTTGCAATTTTCGCAACGGATATAATTATCATTGTGCAAAAAAAGAAGCTTCTCGAAATAAATGTGTGTCAATCTAACGGGATGCTTCTTCAGGAACTTTTCTTGATGGCATTCCATGTTTGATCATTTAAAAGTAATGAACGCTGGGAATTTAGTGAGCTATCATTTAAGTCTAAGATAGAAGACAGACCGTTCCTATAATGACCTTATCGTTATAAACTATAAATGTATTTGATGTTATTTATAAAACTTACGACATCAACTTCAACTCCCTATCGGTCAAGGTTCTGGTCGACAGTGGTTGTTCATGAAGGAGGAGAGCTCTGCTTTTCATGAAGGAAGATATCTCTGATCTTCATGGTATTGATAATATAGCTATTATCAATACTCTTGTTGTTGTTGTTATTGGTGGGGGTGGAGGTGGCTGAATCACATTAATACCATAAGCTACTTTTAATGATTTACTTTTACCTCTGCTATTCTCTCCGACTTCAAACCGAATGATCGCCTTTTTTTTATTTTCATACAGAAATTTATGACATACAGCAATACGGGCCAATACCAGCAAGCCAGTAAAAATACACCTATTTACAGTGCAGTCCCTGCTATTCACAATCTACCCATTCAGTGGGCTCTAAAACGCAAGAACCCAGCCTAGGAGGTCGTCATCCTTTAGCAAAGACTAGCCGTAGCCGTGTAATATTGATTACTTTCATACATTTAAAATAAGAGAAAAATGTTAAGGGAAAAAAAGTGTGTGAAATAGCTTTATTTATAGACTGATAAATAGTAGATGACTTATGTCAGGATGATTTCATTGTTTATTATTAAAACTATTTAATCAGATACAATGTTTGAGCCTATACCGATAATAGAAACGTCTACAAGAAGGCCCTAGGCTTACATAAAAGTAATTTAGATTTTTTATTTGTCTGTCAGTGTTTCAGATGTAGCTTGCATATACCAATAATGAGCATAGATGCCACAAATTAGCTTAGTCATCACAACTTTTAACGCCTCAGCTAGTGAGAATAAATCATAAGTTCTATGTATAGTTTCTATTTCTCAAAATCAATTTACGTTGTATGCTGGGAGACTTCGGTATACAATAGATGCACGTATACCGAAAAGTGTATCTAGTGCATCGACAAGAAAAATGGGCGACCCGAAAGGGAGTCCTGTTTTTTTAAAAAATCCAATATCTGGGGCCACCTCCATTGGCAATAACTATTTTGTATACTAAACGATTTTAAAGGAACATTTTTCCAACGGTATATCTCACAATCACTACATAATGATGTACAATATATTAGTCTGAAAAATTGGTGCTGCAATTTTAATAAAACAGAAGTATTTATTGAATAGGTATCATTAACCACCCCATGATTACATAATACGTCACTCCACTCAGTTGTGTGTGTGCCAGCACATTAAGGTGGAGAATATTTTACGCTAAAAAAATTGCTGGAAAAAACTTGATCACTGTGCAGTGTAATCAACCAGGTCTGGAAGAATTATTATTACTGGATCGAGAAGCTTCTTTTCTGGTTACAAACTTGTAACTGAAAAATTTCATTTTTTTTTTAGCTTCGGACATGTGTATCACCTTAACAAGTGATAGTTATCGGACAAACAAAAAAAAATCGACTGTATTTGGCTTATTGTTTTCTTTTCCCCAAACAAATAACCCTTTTTTTTTCTTACGCTTCTTTTCATTATCTTTTTTTTTTTTATTCTTTCAAAAAAAAATGGGCTCACTTGTCAATAACCTTTTTAAACACTACTTAGCCAACAATCAACAACAGAGTGGCGAGCATGGACCAATGGATTGGCTCCAAAATGTAGCCACGTTTGCAGGAGCCGATGCTTTATTAAACCGTATTGATGATGGTGGCGAAGAGAACAATCATTTTTTACGAAACGCAGGCTTAGCAGGTGCTTTGGCCTTGGGCTATCAATATTATCGAGATCATCATAATCAACAACAACAGCAACAGTTAGATCCCGAACAATTACAAGCTATCCAGCAACAACAACAATTACTTCAAGCTCAACCTCAGCAACAGATAATACAACAGCAACCCCCACCAGTACAGCAGCAAATGATTCACCAACCTCCTCCTCCACCTCCTGTCCAGTATTATCCACAAGAATATGCTATGCAACCGAACTATCATATGGAAATGATGCCTCACTATTATCAGCAACAACAACAGGCCATGATGATGCCTCCTCCGCCACCACTACTACAACAGGGCATGATTCCCCCACATTTATCACAACAAATGTATGGAATGCCTAATTATATGATGCCAAATAATATGATGATGATTCAGCAACAGCAACAGAATCCTTATTTGATGATGGCTCTTATGAATCAGTTACAATTACAACAGCAACAACAGCAACAGGCTATTTTATATAGAAATAATATGATGATGCAACAACACATGGGACCGTCGATGACCTCATATCAGCAGCCACGGTTTATGCAACAACAGCAAATGATGCATTATGGAGGTGGTGGGATGCCATATAACCCATACATGTTTTAATGTTATTGTGAAAGTATAAATATAGTAATTTTCTTGTCGTGTCTTTTTGTATCCATTATTTAAAATAATAAAGGTTTTTTATTTATTTATTTATTTAATGCAAATGATCATTATATTCATCATCAGAATCAATGGAAGGGGAGCGACCAAAGACTCTACCAGAACCCACCACGATATTGGAAGGCCTTGTTTGATACTGATTTGTTTTGACAGAATTCAAAGTTAAGGTATCACTCTGATTTTCATCATCCCGAATCCCATCCAACATATTTCGATTCGCTCTTTCCATCTTTCTGCGTTTTTCTCGCCAGTACTCTGCCAAGGTTAAATTGCGTTGTTGTACATGTCTCTTCGTTAAGAAAGGTTTTAACCATTTTTCATCAAAGGATACAAACCAATGCGGTGGCCTATCTTCGGGAATAGGTTCTCCCAGTGGTCCGGATAATAAACCACCAATAGATTGATCTGCGTATCGACTTGTGCCTTGTCCTGTCTCCATCAACCCATCGTTGTTGTTCACCTTGGTATATTTTCCTTTACCATCCTCTTCTTCTCCTTCACTGCCTGATTCATCGGGCTCGATCACACCTGTGCGGACATCCAAGACTTGAAGCATTCGACTGGTTGTACCACCAAACAAGAGAACGGTCAATACCACCACGGCTAAAATGGTGGTACGCATGGCGGGTGCACTGTCGCCTGTGATACCCGACGCTAATGCAAATGCCACAGCTCCGCGTAATCCAGCCCAAAATAACATCATTTGATGATTACGAGGCAACTGATCTTCTCGACCAAAAGCACGACATACAGCATTAATCATCATGGACAAGGGAGCGACCGAAGCATAACGTGCAATACAAATAAAAGCCTAAAGTGCGCTTTAGTAATGGTTTCCATGAAAAGTTTGATAAAGTATTTTTTACCAAGGTGACCAAAATAAAGAGAGGCTTGTAATCCAAATCGTCTTGTGTAAATAAATTAATACCGAGATAAATAAATATAAAGTTTTCGGATAGTTGTGATAGGATTTGAAACATGAATTTGGTGGCTCGTTTACTGGTTTTGGAAAGATTATCATATGCGTAATGCTTCAAGGTGATACCCGTGAAAAGTAAAGTGACAATGCCAGACATTTGTGTACCGTTTGAAAAGAAGTAACTGCTGTAAGCCATTAATAAGACGAGACAGGATTCGATACTGGTAAAACGATAGAGTTGAGAGTGTTTCAACATGAGTGCTACTACCACTCCAAACAGGATACCAATAAACGTGGAAGCCCAAAAGACGCCCAAGAAGAGACCAACACCTTTCACTATATTCACTACATGCAAGTCCTGACCACGAAATTTGCGCAGGGTGCTTTTTATGTGAGTTAATGAAAAAATTGTCTCACTCAAAATAATAATAATTATGCAGCTTACTCGGAGAGCACAATGGCGACGGCGTCATTTAATAAGGATTCACCGGAAATAATTGAGAATAATTGAGGATCCACATGTAATTGATTGAAAATGGCCAGGATAGTAACAGGATCGGTCGCGGATAAGATGGAGCCAAAAATCATGCTATCCAAAAATGAGATGCTAATTCCCTCTGGATTAATTAATGCATACAAATAGGTGCACACACTATAAACTGATTAATGATTATTTACATGTCTGACTATTCTTTTTTACCCTGTGACTACAGCAGCAATAAATGTGCCCACCATGGCAAAGGTTAAAATGGTGCCAAAATTGAGAAAAAAATTTCGCTAGAGAAAGAACTTGATAAGCATTTTCTAATTATTTTCAGCATGATATGTGGCATACCCTCTTTAGTTCGTAGCCCGAGTTGAGAATAATGGGTGGTAACAACAGGTTGAAAAAGAAACCTTGTTTAAACTTGACCATTTCTTGAATGATGGTACCAGGCGCTAGTTTAATGACTAGCCCGACAAACATGCCTACAAATAGAGTAGTGAGTGGGACAGCCAAGCATTTTTCTTAGCAATGCTGAGAGATGGGGAGACGTACCTGCCATGATGGAAATCACGGTTTCATGAACTGCACGAATCTTTCGTAATTGTAGGTAATAACTGGTCCATAAAGCACCGATAAGCAATGTCATCAAGATTAACAATGCCCAAGAAGAATACATTTCTTCCTCTAATGGCTGTTCTACGCCAGGCAGCGTACTATTATTTTGCTCCATAATAATTCTATATATACACGCACAACACACAAAAAGGGCATAAATGGCGGAGATTTTTATAGCAAAATGTTTTTTTCTTTTTTTATTTTTATTTTTAGACTTGGATAATGTTACCAGGAGCTTTGGCATCCTTTTTAAGATCCACCATTAATTCCTTCATTCTGCTAACATCGTGTGTATGATATCCTGTCTTTGCGTTTGATGTGTCAACCTCTCGAGCGACACGATCCCAAACATTACTGGATGCAGCAACGTCGTCACGGCTCTTGACAACCAACTCCTCGCGCTCTCTATACATGTCCTTTATCAGTAATCTATCTCTCACTCTCTACCTTTCTATCTTTACCTGTTCTCTTCGATTGCTTTTTGCTTCTTGTCATTATATTCTTCATAAAACTTGTCAATGTCCTCACGTGCACGGTTGATAGTCTCTTGTTTCTTTTGTTCCGAAATAGCATCTCGTTCAGCAATGACTTCCTTTTGCTTTTCACGCCATTGACTATACAGAGATAAAAATAGAGTTTAATTTTTCTTTTTCACAAGAGACATTTGTGTTATGTTTTACCGAACAGTCTCTGGCTCTTCTTCTGGCAACATGGCTTTGTGGAAAGCCTAAGAAAAGAAAAAAAAAGGGTTTAGCATAAAGTGATTAAGGAAAGGTTATTTTCTTACTTGAGAAGTCTCCAACTCTTCGGCTTTGGGGTAGTCTGCTTCGAAGCTTGTAGTAACTAAAGCACCCTCGTTAGGCTTCATGGGACTAGAAGACTGGAAGTCCATGAGGCTGGGAGAGGAATTAGCAGCGGAAGGTTCGTCAAAGAGGCTTGGGGACATGGGCAAGGCAGGTGATGCCATGTCGTTGGAAGTGAAGAAATCAGCATCTTGACCTAAAGCAGCTCTTTCACGAGCAAGAAAGTCGGAAGTAGGGTCTTCAGAGGGTGTGTTAAAATCGCCAAAGTCAGACATGATGGAAGTTATTTTTTAACGGAGGGAGAAAAAGGGTTATAAAATGACTTGAGTGACGTATAAAAGGGAAAAATTTGAAGGGCCGTTTCCTATAGAGCCCAAAAAAAATAAGCGAGTTAATAATTTAATCAAAGCACGGATTTGTTTGTGATACATCAAAACATACCGTGTTTGATGGTTTAATACAGGCGATTGGTGTGTAGTTGCTCTATTTTTGGATCAATTTGAATCCATTTAAAAAAAAGAGTTTTTTTTTAATTACTTTTCTTTTTTCTTCCCCATTTATATATTACAATGAAGCTTGTATTGTTTGTCGCTTTGGTGGTCTTGTGTGGATTTGCAGTAGCAGATGTGTTTTCTCAGCTTCAGTTTATGAAGATCATCTCACCTACCAGTGGACAAACAGTAGCAGCTGGAGACAAATTAACTATTAAATATGCCATGCAACCCTTAGTCTATAGTAAGTTTTATTTTGGTTATCATAGCAACAACATTGTCTAATTTATTTTCAATAAAGAACAAACATCCAATGGTTATGCTACATCTTTGGTTCTCAATTTCCATAAACGCTCGGGAAATACCAAGCAAGGTCTACTTGAGAACATTAGTCCCAACTGGTAAGTTGTTTACACAAAACTATAAAATAAGTGGAAATGAAAAATGCTAACCTGGCAAAATAAATTAGTCCTATCGCAGCTGAACAATCCAAATTTAAGACTTATACCAAACAATGGACCGTACCAGCCAATACTGCTCCTGGATCTTATGCCCTTGATTTTGTCGAAACTGTGCAACTTCGCAGAGGAAAATTAACTGCCTCAGAAACTGTAAAAATTACCATTGTTGATTAAAAATTTATCGCGTCACCCCGAAACCTTTTTTTTTTCCCCTTTTTTGGAATACAAACTTTTTTTACGTCTCCTATCGAAACAATTTTTCTTTGCTTCTTGTTCTTTCTTTCTCTTTTTTTTTTTAAACAATGTCAACTAGCTTTTGTGGTTCAAGTCAGGGAGCAAAGGTTTCTTTCACAACATTTTTTTTTTTTTTTTTGAAAAAAAAAAAAGCTAAAAAAAATAGTAGTAAAAGAGTAACACAATTGGTTAATTCTCTAGATTGATCCTCATGCCTTGACCATTAACACTTGTTTAAGAGAGACGTAAGCTTCCACCCCGAAAAAATAAAAATGTCGTGTGTGTTTCATGTTGATAAAATTACTCTATTTTTTTTTTTTTTTTTTTTTTTTTTTTTGTTTGTATTGAATGTTATGTATTAGAGTCTTGGATGGAGTATTACCAATAGTGTTCTTTATCACGTCATGTATTATATTTTCAATCAGTCGATACCAACAACACTACACCGTCATTGATGAAAACGATTGTCTTCGACTACCCACCTCCAAAACCATTTCGGTCTTCAAGAGAAGTCTTGTATTATTAGTCGTGACCCTTTTAGAAATCAGTAGTTGGGCCTTCTTGTTCGCCTGGAGACTCGAATCCGCCATTCTCGAAAGATCCAAAAATTCTACACATATACCTCCTCTCTACCAAGTCGTTGATCCAGGTCTTGCCTTCATACCCAGGGTAATATATATATCATACACACTCGATATGACTAAACATCCTTATATATATACATATAGATCTATGTGCTTATTCTCGTTATTAAATCATTCACCACACCCACCAACCCTATAGACCCGTCGAAATTCACTAGATACAGTCATCATTTTCTCGTATTTTACACAATCACCTTTATCTCGGCCCTAATTCGTTGCTTTGATTACTATTTTACCAACCAATCCTTGGCTATCGACAAATCCTTTGCATCCATTGATCTAATATTATGCTTTATTTTATGGATCGTCATTATTACGTCGCCGTCAGAATTGGATCAAGGCGAACTTGTTGATTTTGAAGATGATGACGATGGTGTACTTGTTCTTCACGACGGCCGCGTTGTCCGCAATGTAACCATAGAATACACATGATAACTTTTTATGTAACTAACTCTTTCCGACTATTTTCAGGGTCGTATTTTGAGCTTGGAATCTTGTGCATCCCCCCTCGCCTGTCTCACCTTTAGTTGGATGAACTCACTTTTGAAACTCGCCTTCAAATCACGCCTGACAGCCGCCTCTCTTTGGGCGTTACCGATTCGACAACGTGCGCGTGAAAACTATCGTTTATTCACAGAGACAGCCACACGTACCATCACTATGTCTACTCTCATCCATCGCATCTATCGTGCCAACAAACGTATCGTCTGGTCTCAATTCATCACAGCCATTGGCGCCGTCTTGTTTCATTATGCTAACCCTTTCTTTTTGAGGAAACTGTTAAATTATATTCAGGAACATCATGGACAAGGGGATCAAAGTTCGTTTCAGATAGGTTATTTGTATTGCATCGCCTTGTTTGCTTGTAACGTCACAAGCACTTTGGTCGCCTCCCAAACATTGTTATGGGGAAGAAGGTGGCATGTCACCATCACACACATGTTGAATGCAGAGATTTATGCTCATGCCCTCAGGTTGAAAGTTGTGCAACATACAAAGATGGCGGTGGAAGAGGAGGAAGAGGAAGAGGAAGAGGAAGAAGATGGGGACGAATCTGTGCACCAACAGGCTAGTTTAATGAGCCAAGATACCGAAAGATTAGCCGAACTCGCCTCGTACCTTCACGTAAGTCTGTGTGTATGTATAAGTAGGTTTGTTGCTTATTTTATTTATTTTCTTGCGCCATATAAAGATATTCTATACATGTCCTTTGGAAATTGCGGCAGGAGTGATATTCTTGTACCAGATATTAGGCAATTCTTTTCTGGCAGGTTTAATTGTGATGGTGGTGGCTTTACCTTCTACTCATTACATTAGTCGTCGTCTCATGATGGCACAAACTCATTTGGCTGACGCTAAATCCTGGCGACTTCGATTATTACGAGAATTATGTGAAGGCATTAAAACCATCAAATTTTTAGCTTCCGAACGTCGGTGGGAGCAAGCAATTACTGTAAGTTTTATCTATTAAAAAAAGAAGAAGAAAAATATTCACTGTGATTTAGAATGCGCGCGATGATGAACTTGTAAAATTAATCAAGTTGTATACCCAAAACACAATATTGGGTCTAATTTGGTTTGCAACTCCTGTGTTTGTTACTACCATTTCATTTGCTTGGTACACTATTGTAGAGAAAAAGACGCTGGATGCCAGGTAAAAAAAAAAAAAAAAAAAAGAAAAAAGAAAAGGCTTAATACAAAAAACACATCACTTAAAAAAAAAGATAGCACGGCCTTTGTGAGTATTGTTTTGTTTGGCATGTTACGAGATCCATTAAACGTGATGCCTCAAGCTTTTATGGCCTACAGTGACGCCAAAATCAGTTTAGGTCATATCACCACATTTCTCAACACACCTGAAACAGAACCTGTTTCACCCACCCAACCATCCTTTGATAAAGTCCAGGTTGGATTTGCCTCCCAATGTTATTTTCAATGGCCTACCACCAATGGTGACGGAGTTTCTTTCAAATTGGTCATTCCCTTCACCTTGTTCCCCACAGGTAAATTATCCATCATCTCAGGCCCACCCAAATCGGGGAAGACGAGTTTTCTGGCCGCTTTATTAGGGCAGATGGAAGGTCAGGGACAGGTCTTATTACCATCCATCTATAATCGCCATGTACGTGAAGGACCATTATACCCGCACAAAGTGGCGTATGTTGCACAACAGGCTTGGATCGAACATGGCTCCATTCGTGAAAATATCTTGTTTTCAGAGCCTTGGGATGATACAAGGTATCGTGCCGTACTGCATCAATGCGATCTGTTGAGAGATTTATCTTTGTTTGATAATGGGGATTTAACATCTACGGGTGATAAAGGGATCTCCTCTTCCGGTAAGTTTTACATATCCATAAAAAAAAACGTATGATGTTAATTTTATTATGTCAAAAAAAAAAAAAAAAGAAATCATGCAACACAAGATTTCATTGGCAAGAGCTGTTTATTCACGCGCAAAGACGGTGTTGATTGATGATATATTTACAGTGTTGGGAAAACTTTCTGGTACATTTATTTACGAGAATTGTATTCGAGGTGATTTAATGAAGGATCGAACGATACTTGTGGTTTCGACATGGCCTGATATGTTCTGGGCAAGAGATGCTCATTTATTTATTAACATGGCATGTGTTTCCAACGAAGGCACGATTGAATCCTCTGAAACAGACCCTGAAAAGATTGTGGGCTTGATCAAGCTGAGAAGGAAATCGCATAAAAAACCTCAGGCAACAGCAGAACCCGTAATGATAGTGGAAGAGGAGGTATTAAATACAGATGTGATTGATACCCTGTTTGATCATCCCGAAGGAAGTACGCATAGTACACATAATAACACCTTATTTGATGAGGACTTTTTCGATGAGGCATCCATTATTCCTGATTCGATCCGACAAGGAGATGAACAAGATCGAAGCTTAATGTACAAGACAAGAGAATACGCTTATGCCACTTATTACTCTGCTTGTGGTGGTTGGCAATATTGGTTTTCCGCCATCTTGTTTACTCTACTTGCTCGTTTGGCAAATATTTCTGAAAGTTATTGGCTAAAGGAAGGTAAACCCCATTTTATTTTTCATCTCTCTCTTTCTTTCACTTTTTTTTTTTCTTTTTTGGTTTGTGTAAAAAAAGTAACGTGTGGGATTTTTTTCTCTTTCGATTAGGTATGGTCCATGGCTTATTCACGTTTCAATATTCTTGTGGATGAAAAAAGTATTCCTGATACTACATCCATTTCCAATCACTATGTCTTGTTCTATTTGGGTCTTTGTCTAATCACGGTTGCCTGTAATTTCATACGCACCGTGATACAATACCGTGGTTCATTAAGAGCCTCCAACCGCATGTTTCTGGGACTTTTACAATCGGTTTGTCATGCCCCTCTTCAATTTTTTGATATCACGCCCGTCAACCAGATCATGAGTCGATTCAGTAAAGATATGGAAACCGTGGATTCGAGTATTGGTTGGCATGTCAATTTCTTGCTTCAAACGGTGTTTGGTGTCTTTGGCGTAGTAGTTACCATTGGCATGATTTTACCCGAATTCTTTGCTGCCAGTTTGATTGCTGCTCTTCTTTACCTCTACATTGGTTTAATTTATATTCGTGCCTCTCGCGAATTGAAAAAATTAAATGCAGAAAGTCGACCTCCCATCTTCCACTTATATGCGGATACCTTGGCTGGATTAGCTACAGTGCGTGCATACGGTGAAGAATGGACCATGATGAAAAAGATGTTTCATCGATTGGATGATCATATGCGACCTTTTTACACACTATGGACAACCAACCGCTGGTTATTTGTACGCGTAGAACTGCTGGGCACATTTTTATCCTTGTTTATCAGTGTCACATTAATCCAAAAGATCAAGACCGTGGATGCAGGACTTGCAGGAATCGCCTTGACATTTTCTACAAGTTTATTAGAATACGTCTATTGGTTGATGAGACAATCCACTACAGTGGATATGCATTTTGAAGCAGTCGAGCGTATTAATGAGTATATGGATATGCCACAGGAGCCACCTAGTATAGTTGAAGGTTCAAGACCACCTGCTGCTGTAAGTATTATCCTCTATCTTTTTTATGCATTGTTTTTTAATATTTTTTTGAAAAAAAAAAAAAGTGGCCTACAACAGCGACGATTCAAGTACGCGATTTGATGGTGAGTTTTAGCAACTCTGAGACGGATGCCATCTTGAAACATATTTCGTTTAATATCTATTCGGGAGAAAAGATTGCGTTGGTGGGTAGAGCACATGCAGAGAAATATGCGCTCGTCTCTTGTCTCTTTCGATTTATGGAACCCATGCGAGGATCGATCAAGATTGACGGTGTGAATATAGCCTGGGTAACCATTACTCTTTATATGATTATAACAAGATTCCTAATGATGCTTTTATGATAGATTGGAGTGGAAGATTTGAGATCACGAATTACATTTATATCTAAAGAGGGTTGGCTACTCAGTGGCACTGTACGAAGCAACTTGGATCCGTTTGGAGAGTACGATGATTACGCACTTTGGCAGGTATTGTATCGTGTTCGGTTAGCGAAACCTTCCATCCATCATGATTTTGTGGCGACAGGAAGTACGTATGTGGCAGCTAGTTCAGCTATCCAGGATCTGGATAAAGATTTGGGTAAAGAAGGATGTCGATTGCCTGTGTATGAGCGACAGCTGTTGTGTATTGCGCGAGCCCTGTTACAGGATTGTACCAAGCTTGTCATTATTGAAGAAGCTCATTTGAACCCAGAGTCACAAGAAGTACTTCGGTCTGTGATAGATCAAGAATTTGAAGAATCGGTAATAATAAGGGATAGAGAGAGAGAGAAAAAAAGAAAGATTTGCTAATCTGTGTTTTTTTCTGTTAGACTTTGATTGTAATTCCCTATTTACTTCATGATGTGGTGAATTATGATAAAGTGATGGTGTTTGATCAAGGCAATATGGTAGAATTTGATTCTGCTATTGACTTGTTAAATAAGCAACATAGTTTATTGCAATCTCTGTGCGAGAAGGCAGGGATTTTAGATGAACTTACTTTAGATACTGACATCCTTACATAATAAAACACATATTTCTTTTTACCCTTACACACAAAACACTCTCTTTTATACAAATAAAAAAACCACCCCATTGTTATTGTTACAAGTAAAATTAGCCAATTTTACTTTTTTTTTATTCTTTTTTTTTTAATGAGTATATTAAAAAAAAAAAAAATCCGTGTGGTTCCTTAAAACCCTTGTTGTTGTTGTTGTGTTGTTGCTGTTGTGGTGCTGTTGCTGTTGTTGTTGTTGTTTTTTTTGTTTTTTTTTTTTATGTATATATTATTATTCTAAAGTTGAACGGTTTTTTTTTACTTGGAAGCTTCGAGTTTAGCATAATAAGCATCGCGACGCTTGACGTTGGGAAGATGGTAGAGGTTCCACCAAGCAGCTCCACCAGCGGCACCGAGAGTGAGGGCAATAGTAATGTCCTTGATGGCGAGCTTGCGCAATTTACCAGTAATGGGAGCAATCATTTTTTTTAATGTTACGAAAAAGAGAGAGAGAGGGGAGTACACAAAAAAAAATTGTATGTTTAAAAAAACATTGTTTTTTCAGCAGGGTGTTTTTTACATACCCACCCAAAAAAAGTGACGTCGCTCCGCCGACAAATTCGATTTTGTGACAGTTTTAAAAGGCACTCTTGGATAAATGTAAGACGTGCGCATTGATGTTATAAACGCAGGTTGATCGTTGGAACCACTGTCAAGACAGGATCTACCAGAATAAGCCTTTGGGTTGTCACATTACACCATACAACTTCCTGCATTAGCGGAATGTACTCATTTCTATTCTCTCCGAGTTTTGACATTGCTTTGTGCGCCAGAAGTCGTGTCGGAACTCTTGACATCAGTGTTTCCTGTAATAGTTAACACAAGATGGGGCTATTTCACACAGCACATAGTGGACAGTCTCTTTATCTAGCTAAAGGAATCATGTACTTTATTTTGTGCATACCCAATGCATTGTACACCAATATGGCAAGTCTTCTTTAAGTGACGATCATACATGATATACTTGAGACTTTCGTTCATTCTTCTGCATGATCGTTTATAGACATCAACTATACCTTTCATATCTGGCACCTCAATTAAATAATAATCTTCTAGCGCTAACTTTAGTTCATCATCATTTATGCCATATCGTAAATCTTTTGTCAGTATTACTTTCCTTATGAGACAGGCTTGTTTCACTCGTGAATAAAAATTCCGCTGTAAGCGACTTACGTCAAATCGTTGGAGAATAGGAAAAAAAGGCATAGACAAGGTCCATTAAATAAAGTTTTTTAATAAGCTAATATAAAAAAATGGTGGAGAGAAAGGTTTTTAATTTTCGAGATTACATGCAGCGAGGTGTTCCAAAAATGTCTGGTAGAAAGAGTATTTGGTTAAATAAGATGGGTACTGTAAACTAGCGTCTGTTATATTATTAATGGACCAAATTTGGTCATCCCTATACAGCAATGTTTAGGTTTATTTCTAATGGCCTGGCGCATTAAACCTGCAGGTCTGTATGCTTCAACTGTTTAGCTTTGACAGCTGGTTTTTTTCCCGCTCAAAGACAAACAGCGTAGCACCATCCAAACGCATACCACCACCAGCTTTTTGCTGCTTTGATTACCAGCAAGCTCTTAACAAAATACTGTTTTTTTTTTTTTTTTTTTTTTTTTTTTTGAATGATTAAAAGAAAATCCGGATTAGTTTGGATATACGATGCAAATGTTTGATCATACATGCTCAATTCCATTGTTCTTGCTTCGGTGTTGACGCTGATTTGTTCAAGCACCTGTTGCTTAAACAAAGTATGGTCTTCGGGTTAATACGGTTGTATATTGGTCTTGCGTTTCGCTTGAAGTCTTAAAACATGCGACTATCACGCGTTTGGTTAACAATATGTGTGGGGGTGATAGAAATGCTTGTTAATCAAAGTGGTGATAAGAACGCTTGTTAATCAAAGTGGTGATAGGAACGCTTGTTAATCAAAGTGGGTCATCCTATAATAAGCGACGATTTTTTTTCGTTTTCGTTTTTTCATCTTTACCTTACTTTTAACACACATACACACACATTATGGATAACGAATACAATGAACGCAGAGATGTACTTTTTGAACTTTTCACCTCATTTTGTGAAGGTAAGTGAAAAAGAGGGTGAGGATGGGGTGATCGACAAAAAGGTGGGAATGCTTACAATTTATTTTTTATTTTTTTGGGGGGGCTGCTGTAGACTATCCCGAAGATGCTCCCACTGAGATCACGGGAATGTTAGTCGACGACAATGACTTTTTTTTTTCTGGTCTTGAGCCTTTGCCAGTAAACCAAGGCTATCTCTGCATGAGCTACAACCGATTGAGAGCTCAAATGAGCCAAGTACCTCTTCCAGTCCGATTTGGTAGGAATGACAGCAAAAAAAAAAAAAAAAAAAAAAAAAATTATATGGTATATCGAACTAACATGAGAGTTGATTTAGTGGACCTGGTTGAGGACGATGAACTTCTGGCGTCTCCCCCTCCCCCTGAGGCTGAGGTTCCTCTTCGTCCCTTGCCTGACCCCCCCCCCCTTGCTCTCCTGCCCATCACCAACGCCCCTGCCTATTTCGCCCACCAGAATGAAGGTAAGTTTGTCACCATGGTAATGGTTTATGGCAAAAAAGTAACATGCATCTCATGTCGTCTCTCTATTGCTAGTGGCCAACCGGTATCGTCATTACCCAGGTGCTCTTGCCCAAGCCGTCGCCAATACAACAGAGGCCATGGGCATGCCGATTGCCCAGGTAGCAAGAGGGCAATTAGAGCTCCATTCCGTGGTCAGTGAATATATATTTTTGCAAGGTAATATGACGGCATCCCAGGTGCGCAACCTTCTGCTTGCATTGATCTTGTACGTAACGAATGACGGCGAGCTTAACGTACGCCAGCTTGCTCGTAAGTCGTTCGTGTCGATGATGTTTTTAAAATCAATCACCTTAACCTTTATCATGTAGTGATCCACTCCCCCCCCCATCCCACTCGGATGGAGTTGGAATCGATCAGACTGGCCTTGAAACTGGGGAGCCTTTCTTGCTCCCATCGTAGAGGAGGCGGGTATCACCGCGTTGTTGCTAGTGGACTTTTTTCCCCCATATTTGTTTTAAGAAGTAGAAGTGTTGCTGAAGGTGTTGGAAGGTGTTATGAAGGTTAAAAAATGTTGAAGGAAGAATCCATTATAGCGCTTGAAAGTTCGTCCAATTTGAATATGTAAAAGCAGAAAACTTACATTGGGTAAATGTATATATTTATCAAAAGCAAACAACTACGTTTTCAATCCACTAAAATCGGCGATTGTTAACTTAATACTCATATGAACAACTGCAGCAATCGTATCTACTACCTTATGAACCAATACAGTAGTAATTACTTTAGATTGACAATCGTCAATCATATAGATTAGCTTCAATTATCGATCAATAAACCTTATCTTTATCCTCCTCTAAAAAAATTAATCACAAAAGTCAACCCCTTTCTACTAACTCGGTATTTAAGCACCGTCCTCAAGCTTATTTTTAATGTTGTTGTGACCGCATTCATGCTGATATAAACTAGTCTTTTTTTTTTTCTTCTTTCACTTTCGCTTTCACCTTTATTTATCAGAAGAAAAAAAAGATATCTTTGAGAAGTTGAATTCGTACAAGGATTTTACTTCTTAAATCTTAATGTTTAAAACCATGATCAGTGGTAATTTAGATACATGGCTTTCCTAGGGAAGCCATGATTCATCAGTCAGTATTGATTGGCGTACTACAAAGATGGGTTCAATTTTCTTATACAAATGGAAACAGCTGCTTTCATGTAGTACATAGGCCTGTAACGGGTCGACATTGTTAGCAGGCCTTCTATTGTATGCATTTTAGTCTTCCTGTCAATTCTCTCTCCCTGCAGAAAAAGTAAGTCGGCCTAATGTTGAAGGTGAGTATCCTTTCGTTACAGAAACTAATGAATCTATTGTATTAGACTGTATGCTGGGTGACTTGGGCATACGCTAGATGCACGTATACTGAAAAGCGTAGTGTGTCTACAAAAGAAAAGAAAAAATGGGATTGGCGACCCGAAAGGGAGTCCCGTTTTTTTTTCTTAAAAAATCAAAATTCTCGTAGAGAACCTTTGATTCTTTTGAGAAGAATCTGTACTGTAGCTGTAAGTTTTTTTTTAAACCAGCAAGTGGATATTTTAAGTATGTTCACTAACTGCAAAAAAAAAGGGTACTTTGACAATTATCCACCCCGAAACTGGGAACTTGGGATGATTTCGACATATTGTACACCCAGCGTACAAATATCATCAAAACAATCAGTCATAGACACTTCTCCAGTGATCTCATGACATTGCAATCCTCCTTTCCTGATGATAACGAGGTGAAAAACAGTATAAAAAAAATGTCGAAAGCAGCTGCAGGTACTTCTAGAAAGCAACAGCGATTTGACAGGTCCACATAATCTAACCAATATATTCTGATACCGTATAACAAAAGGCAGGCAATAAAAAAAAAGCGATAACTATTTGGTTTTTGGGTCGTCCGAGCCAGTCAAGAATAATTACAGTTTAAATAAGGTATGTCCTGTAATTTTAAAAACGCAGATTGCATGAAACCCCAAATTTGTTAATAATAGACAGGGCAAAATTACCATCGCCGAACAAGAAGTTCAAAGAATTTCAACTCTAGCGACCCAATACAACAGTCCCCCGCTGTTTCCGTCCATCATGACTTGAGTTCCTAGACTAATGAAATATGGGCTAAGAAACTCATATTTCATTATGACATGCGAAATTCCTCTCATAAAGCATCAAGCTTATAAAAATTTACCCCCGAATCCCTTTCCATTCAACCCGAATTGGATATTTGTGGGGGGGGGGGGACGGATTCTCTGGTCGCCGCTTTTTGCAGTCCATTAAAGTCCTCTGGTAAATAATCATTCATTTTCAAACTTTAAATATTTTACACTAAAAAGATACCATTTATTAAAGCTCCGAATCAGTTATATAAATACACCATAGCTAACAAAAGCCATCGTTATCCTGAAGCTGAAAATGTTATCGGCTTTAAAAATTGATGTGAGAGTAGTGTTTTATTATCAAGGAACTGGTTAAAAATTGGTCTGTGGTGAAGCTGCGTTTTACGCCGGTGATCAAAAGATTATCAGTGATGAAGCCAAGCTGACAGAAGGGAAGGGAAGAACATCCAAGACTTATTGATTGCAAATGAACTGAAATCAGAGCTTCGCTTGGCTCGTTCAGTTATGGTTGGTCATTCATCGGACTCCAGTACGGTTCATTTTTTTTTTCTCCTGGGATCTATGTGAACATTTCTCGAGTTAGCCCTTAGTATGCTTGAATCATTAGGGGTCAACTATTTATAGTGTGATCCCAGCTATTCAAGGTCTGATTGCGCCTATTTATATCACTTCCCTTCAAACATATAGGAAGTGAATATAATTGTCCAAATGATGTTGTCAGTCATTTGTTGACATTCAAAGTAAGTTTTACTGTCTTTTATTAATCCCTCAATATTCATACTTTTAAATTAACTTTTCAAACTATCAATAAAGCTTATGTCATTAATACAACTGAGTAATTGAAGTCCAATCTTTATGAAAAAAAAATGAACTCTGTCTCTTCCCTCGGCAAGATGAAGGATCGTGATTTTTTCTAAACGGCAATATGGGAAGGCTCTTCCAACTTACTACTCGTCCTTCCCCCCAAATAACCATATTTCAAAAGTTCCTTTACATTTGGATGGTATTTCCCATCCCAGAAAATTTAAACGATGGATTAAGGAAGGAATTCGTTTCAAACGCCTTTACCACATCGTATTCCGAGGCGGACAATGTTTGCGAGTTTGGCTGGGTGAAAGAAGACGACCGCTTTTATAATATACATAGTGGGGGGGGAGTACAGGTGTCACTGATTTACTGATATTGAACAGTGGTACCTGAGATTTGTTCGAAGGAATAGATTTCATTTAATACAGACGACGGGAAACAAAGTCTGTATAGATATATTCCAATGCCAGAAAGGTTGACTCAAATTGTTAAAAGCCAGGAGCAGTTGTGCGATATAAAAAAAGGATCGACTCTTTTCATAACAGCCGAGTTCTTTTAATCTAATAAAAAAAAATATTTGATTATCTCATCATTTATATCACAAAACTGTCTTTTATTTCTTGTCTTTCCATAACCATTTAATTAGAAGAGGGAGTGGTTTGTTTGTGAGATGCTAAAGTAAATAAACGCTCAAGAACCTCTCATTGAGACCGTGTAAATATTTCTACATTCAGGGGAAAAAAAATTCAGCACTTGCCCTGTTTGGAAGAGTGGCGCAGAGACAAAGTTGGAGATGAATGTGTAGATTCTTGCATTGATGGCACCAGCTCAGATGTCACTCACAATATGCAGATGCCAAAATGCAAGACCCTTCAGGCTCACAAGAGATTGGGGAGGCAACTATTTCAAAAGCTATGAAATATAAATGTATAATAATAACTGAAGCCGTTCCCCCCAAACGATGTGATGGATAGATACTTGTAGGCTCGCTCGATAAAAAAACAGACCATTCTTTATATTATGGCACTACTATATGTATTCATTAAAAAAAATCGTTTGTTTCCAAAATACGTCCTTTATATTATAATCCTTCCTATGAGGAAAGTAGGGTTAGTAGACATACTTGGGTTGGTTATAATCACGTTTTTCTTCTCTCTTTTACATTAATTTAGTTATAAATTGACCAAAGATGCCTGTGTTAAAATGAGAAATATAACAATAAGATTCCTTTTTAAACATTTAAAGTTTTAGTTTGGGAAACAAACCATTGTTATTGTACGACCAAACACATACAATTTAAAAATGAGGTTCAAACTTTTTTTTTTTTTACGCCTTCTCTGTTGTTTCGTTTCTTCTTCTTTTATTTTATCGAATGGACAAATTCGGTTCGTAAACTGATCAACGTTTTTTTTAATCCTTTTGAAAGAAAAAAAAAAAAAAGAACTGATGAAAGAGACAATTAATTTAGTAGGTGATATTGGTAAAGTACTGTATGATGCAGGAATAGACTTTTACAACAAGAAAAATTATGCTCCAGCGTTATCTTATTTTGTCCATGCTGCTCAATTATTCAATCAACCAGACGCTCAATACAATGTTGGACATATGTGTAAAGAAGGGTATGGAACAGAAAAGGATTATAGTGAAGCCTTATATTGGCTCACCAAGGCCTCAGAAAACGGAAGAACAGAGGCCATGTTTGAAATAGGCCAACTTTATCTGGATGAAAACAAGAGACGTTCTCAAGGATCTGAAACATTACTCGATCCATGGCCAACAAAATCTGTTGAACAAGGATACTTGGCTGCCAATCTGGATTTATTTGTCTTGTATCAAGATAACCCCGCTTTACCTCGCCATGAATATACCATGCGGTGGTTACGAGACACGCCTGTTGCTTCTTCTTCTTCTTGTCCAACTTACGGTCTATGCAAGGTTATTACAAAGTACTTAAAAGCACATCGTTATGAGGGAGCCACCAAGTATTCAAATGATCCTATTTACGAGCTGGCTTTGCGATGGCTTGTAAAGGCTGCAGAAAATGGTGTTGTCGCGGCGATGCATCAGATAGGGATGCTTTACCTCTGTGGTACAGGTGTCAAAAAACAAGAAGAAACCGCCTGTCAGTGGCTAACGCGATCTGCTGAACGAAATGACTTATCATCGCAGTTAGAACTAGGTATATTTTATCAAAAGTCCATTGCTAGTCAGCGCGATTATGAAAAATCAATGCATTGGTTTGAAAAAGCTGCTGATACGACCATTACCACCACCACCATCGCCACTGGGAACAATGAACAGGGCAAAAATATCGAAAAGATGGCTGTCGCACAGTATTATATTGGAATGTTTTATAAATATGGACTGAAAGTTTCTGTTAATTACAAGTTGGCTTGGCAGTGGTTTGGGAAATCTGCAGACAATGGTTGTCTTTTAGGCAAAATGGAAATAGGTTTGATGTACTACCAAGGGATGTATGTTCCAAAGGATGAGGAACGTGGTATGCGCTTGTTAAAATTTCTCGTCAGCGATGGACATGTGTATTCACAAGTGGAGCTATGTTGTATATATTCTAAAGGTAATCCAGGGGTTTATGACTATACACCTTCAATGCAGTGGTTTTTGGATGAATTAGATGATGCCACATCTCAAAGTTGGATTGGAGTCATGTATTTACGAGGCTGGGGTGTTGAAAAAAACGAATTAATAGCATTGCAGTGGTTCAGAAAGGCTCTAGATAGAGCGCCCACCTCTAAAATTGGAAACCAGGACACTCATCTGGTACCTTTGAATTGGAATGAGGCTGTACTTTGGTATAAATCAACTGTCGCAAAAAACGGGAATCATCTGTCTCCATATGGTCCTGCTCAATGTTACTTGGAAGATCAAGGCTCTGTACATGAAACGTTTGCCAATCTGGATTTACTCCAAAGTTTAGCAGCGCAGGGAAATAGCCAAGCTCAAAATAGTCTTGGTTTAAAGTATATTGAAGGAGAGCTTATTGAACAGAATTACGGTACAGCCATGATGTGGTTTGAGAAAGCCATCTCAAACGAAGAAAATGTCGATGCCCTACGTAACATTATTGATATGCATCAACATGGTTGGGTTGCCGAAAAAAATCCGGTTTTAGTTCTTCATTATCTTCTCAGATTAGCTAGGGCGGAAGCGGTTATTAGAAATAAGAAGAACATACAAACAAGTACGAGTAATGATGCTTCAACGTCTACAGCAATCAACGAAACCAAACATATTAATTCTGTTATAACATCCTTGAAAATGACTTTGCATGAAGATTCTGTTCCACAAAAAGAAATAAAAGAAGAAAAAGAGAATAATGTGAAAGAAACCTATACCGAGGAAGACCCCGTCAAATTCTTCCATGTAGAAGATACTAGCAAATTCCTCCATGTAGAAAATACTAGCCAATTTTTTTATGTTGAAGACACCCAGAAAGTCTCTCATGCAGAAGAATCCTGCAGCACTCAAGAAGAGAAATCAGGCATGACCCTTCGGGTAGAAGACAGGAGTGTCACTACAGAGTTGTCGCCACCGCCAACTTTTACTTATGATAATATAGTGTCCTGCGTGACACAATTATTTTTCTAGACATTGGTAAATCTTTTATTCAGATACTCAAGTATGATTTTGAGAGCAAGAACAGCCTTGTTGCCTTTTAATTACTCACTTTTAATAAATGAGTGTCTCTGCATCTATCAATTGACCTCACTTTGTGACTCAATAAAAATTGATTTTAGACATTTATATCTAATTCTTATCAATGTTTAACTCCTTGTTCCATGACGATAGAATTTAACAGCGTCAGGGAGTAGCATCTGTGCATGTTTATACAATATCCCATCTGAGCTCTCTCAGCAAGAAAAAAGTATTAAAAAGTTATACACTTTTACGTTTGTTGATGCGATGTAAATCATCCCAACCAGGGAGAATAAACATATCCACAGTAGACCTGTATCTTTCTTGATTGACATTAACCTGTATAATATGAAAAAGGGGGGCGGGGCGTTACTCTGAAAACAACCCTGAATCCATCCCCTCTTGTTGATTGTGACAAGTATTAAATTCTGAGGAGAGACTAAAAAGCGTCGCTTCTAGTGCGCAGCATAAAGATGATTATTTCATGAACACTGGTGAACTCTATTCTTTAAGCGAGACCATTTATTCACGCTTGATATGATTTCGAGAAAGATTGCTATAATTTAGAAAAGTTGCCATTATGGACACAATTATTTCCATTGATGTTGTTGAGTTACGGGCTTTAGAGTTTATCGAGAAATAATATAAGTTGCTTGAAGATGTGTTTTTTTTTTGCTACTCCGTTGGGATATGTGCGACTGCCCCTACTGACACATCTTCTAATGTTGTTACTGATGATAGTAATAATATTATCACAAGTAATCGTGTCGTTCTTCCTGGCAAGTTTTTTTCTTTCTTTAAACTAGTATACTAATATGCACGCAATAGTATAAGAAAAAAAGGAAGAAAGAGAAGCATCTTGATAAACAAGGGGCTCAATAAGAATTGCCTTTAAGTCTTTTTTAAAGTACACTGGTTTATACCTGAACAAAGAATGGACTCTATTGACTCTCCCTTTCCAAGATCAATAGGGAGTTTTTTTTTTATTTTATTATTTGAACCCAAATGCCTGGCTTTAAGAATGCTTTTTGTTTTACTATTTTACTCGTGAAATGCATGTGTAATATGACATCCGCTTTGCACTCTAACTTTATAAGAGCCAAATCAGACTAGACTTTTATCCAAATATCTTATTACAAGACAATTAAAAAAAAAAAATGAAAAACAGGCGAATTACTGTTTAAAAGTGTAACGTCAAATATAAAAAAATCAAGAGTGAATCATGCTTATTTGACCATAAGAAACAAGCCTTTATCAAGAACAAATAATCAAAAGTGATACTAATGTTAGAGAGTGATACCAAATGTCATCCCTTTTCTGGATGATAGACATCCCTTGATTTTGAAGCAGTCAAGATTGACATGAGATTTTATGATGATAAATTTAGATTTCTATACTCAGTTGGAGATTGAATGTCATTTAATGAAGAAAATAACCAGAATTCTCAAGATAATTTGAATTGTTTGCTCAAGGGTATAAAAAAAAAAGAGCACTTATTTATACAGCCTGTTTACGGTTTGATTATTCAGGAGAGAAAGGCATCTTGGTCAATCCTATTGCCGCGGGAGAGAGGGAGGGTAGGGTAGGGGGGGACATGAAGGTAAATTGGAAGAAAGAAAAAAGAAAGGTTTCATCTTTGGTTTAGAAGATTAATGGTGTTGTGGTTCATTATAGGCTCTTGGCTGCTATAAATTGAACAACAAACTTGATAAAATATGCCTGTCAATAGATGGCGTGTTATTATTACGGCGAGCTTCTCAGGGGGGGGGGATTCGAATAAGCTTTTCCCTAGGTGTACCCCTCGTTTATCAGTGACGGAAAGGGAATTGCCAAAAGGAGATAAACGAGGCTCAATAAAATGATAGGACCCACACACTCGTTTTTCAGCGTTATTTTTAGAGTTTTTTTTTTTTTTTTGTAATAACAACAACAAAATGAAATTCCAGGTATCTCAATGAACAATTGTTTACATTAAAAAAAAAAAGAACTCTAAGCCCTCGTTAAAACCCGTTCATTTTTTTTTATTGTGATTTATTGTGTTTTTTTTATAGGTAGATGTGGGAGTAAGTTTTTTTTTTTTTTCATTGTTAATTGATTTGAATGTGCTCTTTTATTAACCTGTTTAAAATCAAGTCAGTAATAATAAATAGGCCATGTGTCAGCGGCAAAATGGGGGGGGGGGTGACAGGGGGAATGGAGCATAAATATGATACGCGGCCCGGGCACATTTTTTCCCGCCGTACGTCCTTTTTTAAAAAAAAAGATGTCTAGACACTGATTGTATGACAGGGCATTCCCATCAGGAACGCCATTTTTTTTTTTTTTTTTCCCCAATCAATTAACTGAATACGGATCCTTTTACTGAATCAATAATAAACATCAAAAGGGAGGGAAGGAGGAGGAGATAGCAATGAAGGGGATCGATGTCTAAAAAAAAAAAAAACACAATTATTCACTAATATGATTGGCGCGATTTCAGTTTTAGAGCAGTAAAAAAAAAAAAAAATCTCTTACCACCTAGAGTCGCTTACTCAATTATCCCAAATGAATGGTGGAACGTTAAAAAGACTAAGCGGGAGGAGAAGAGAGAGAGAGAAATGGTTCTAAAGAGACCATGAATCTAGCCTTGTCATTTATTGTTTAATAATTTCTTTTTTTAATCTAAATACATTCCCATCCCAAATATAATAGTTAAAAAGGAACTGTTCAAAAAGGATGCATCTCATACTTCAAATCACGTCACTTGCATAATTTCTTTTACAATGCAGAAAAGTAATCTTTGTTATGCGAGTAATACCCTTCCAGGAATAAAAAGAGCATTAAAAAAAAAGAGTAGTAGTATTTGTATCACAGCTTGCATAAGCTGTAAGACAATAAAAAAAAAACTTTTTATTGTTTGCTGTGTTGGACAATAAGCAAGATCTACATTTATATGACGCACTCTTCTGCTTATGAGGTAATAGACATTTAGTAACCGATGGAATGATGTTCCGGTCTATATCAAATAATAAAACATCTCAAATTGCCCTGACTATTTTCTAAACAATGTAATGACATTTTAGTTGTTTCGATGATTTAGTTCAGGGTCTCCAAATATGTACATTAAAGGCACGGGGACAAAATAAAACAAGAACCTGGGGGGATTTATTTTTCTTGGACTCTTTTTTTAACCGTCTAATTAAAAAAAATAACACTATTGTTTCCTGCTGAAAAAGAAAGAAAGATACACATTTGAATTTAGTCTCGGAGCATGCCAATGAAAAAAAAAGAAAGATATCAATATTGAGGTACCCTCTTCAATCATATTTGGCCGGGGAGCTTTTTTAATTATTTTAGTTGTCACATCGGGCCGTTCGTTTCACAGTAATTATTGAACATTTTATGTGATCACAAAGAAAAATAAATAAATATCATGTAACACACACATACAAAAATAAAAAAAGCTTCTATTTAAAGAAGTGAAATAAGAATTATTATTATTTGCTATGAAATATATTACATCGTTATATTATAGAAAAAAAAAAAAGGGGGAGAAAGAAAAGGAGTTTTAAATAAACTCTATATATAATGAAAAAAAAAACAACGATATCAAATAGACTATATATATATTATAATAAAAAAAATAAAAAAAAAAAAAGATTAGGATGGTCTATGTTCTTCTTTATAAGCGGGTGGAGGAGTTTGTGTTAATTCTGGAATGACACGATCACTTCTTTGTTGTTGCGCATGTTGAAGAGGAGGAGGAGGAGGCGAAGTAGCTTGTTGCATCATGTAAAGTTGTGCTTGATTCTCTTGTTCTAATCTCTTACGCATCCCTTTTACACTACGAACAATGTACCAAATCAAGACAGATAGAAATATCAGTCCAAGGAAAATAACAAATACAAATCTATTGTGTTGTCTAAGCCAGCTCTGCTGGTTCACATTTTCGTTATTTCCATTTGAATTCCAGCCTGGGGTCTGCACTGTGGGAAGTGCATTTGCATTGTTATTACTACCACTTGTCGTGGACGTAGTGATACTGCTGCTGCTGCTGCTGCTGCTGCTGCTGTTGATATTATTGCTGCTGCTGGGACTGTTAGCAGTAGAGGTCGTTGATGGCTCAGTGCCTATATCCGTAACTTCTGTAGATAAATTACTAGTACTGGTAGTGGTTGGGATACTCGTAACTGTGCTGCTCGGATTGCTACTCAGACTTGTTTCGGTAGCAGTCTCTGTAGTACTAGTGTTGCTTACTAAACTACTGGATGTAATGGACAATGTCTGTGCAAATACAATGGATATAAGACATGCCAACAATAAAAGGATGCTGAAAGGCTTTGAAAAGATCATTGATGTTCCTCTAAATACTACCTTGTACTAAAATAGTACAATAGACGGGAAGAAGAAAGAAGGGAGGGCGAAAGAAAGAAAGAAAGAGAGAGAGAGAGAGAGAGAGAGAGGTGGGATAATAATAATAAAGGGAAAGGAGAAACTTATTTAGTTTTTTCTTTTTTTTTTTGCACCCCGCGAAAAAAAAAAAAAAAAAAAAAAAAAAGAAAAAAAATCAAGGATCAAGGCCTGGGGGATCAAAATCAAGTTTGGTTGCGGTCTCGATTAACTTTTTTTTATAGGGGAGAATAACCCAATACTCTTTTTTTAATTTAATACTTTTTCTTTCATTCACACTTTTTTTACACTTTTTTTTTTGTATGTGTATTTATATATTTGTTTGTAACCTGTGATTCACAAAACAATAGACCAATACACTGCCTGCTAAACCCTGTGGCGAAAAAAAAAAACTGTAGTTCCAAAAATGATATAAATAACTTAAACCAATCAAAAGTCAATCCACACCTAGCAACCTTCCGGACCGGAGTTTTTTTTTATATAATTCTCTATTTTAGACCCATTAATGCAATAACAATTGTAACACACGAAAAACAAAAAGGTTTAGATGATTTCAAAAGAAAATTTTATTCGTTTATGGAGTTTAATCGAAAAGACCGAAACCCATATCATCATCCTCTTCCTCAGACTCTTCAGCAGCGGCAGAGGCAGCGGGGGCATCGCTAGAGGTCTCAGCAGCGACAGGAGCAGCAACAGCGAAAGCTTCGGGGTTAGCGATGAATTCCTTGATTTGCTCAGAACCGGGGAAGGTGTAGTCAGAGGCAACAGAGACAGCCAACAAGTTCTTGTAACCATTGATGATGGAGTGAGGAACAGAGGCAACAGTGGGGTAACCGACAGCAAGAGAGACAGCGGCAACATCACGGATAGCAGCCAAAAGGTTAGCAACCAATTGAGATTCCTCAACATCCAAAACATCGGCAGTGAAGACAGATCCAGCATCGTAAACTTGGACAACAGCCATACCGTAGGTGAAGGGAGAAATACCCAACATGTTCAAAAGAACAGCTTCGGAAGTACCGACCTTGGTACCGGTTTGGACAAGGTTGACATCAGAGACAATTTCAATGGTACCACGAGCAATCTTGGTTGGGATACCAAGAGCTTGGAAGAAAGAGGTCTTTCCGGGTTCCATACCAGTGTTACCACCGGGAACAATGACATCACAAGGAGCAACGGCACCAGCACGAGCAGGAGCAGCAACACGGTTAGAGACAATCTTCTCACGGACTTCCTTAAGGTCAGCATTGGTGAAAACGAAACCAATGTTACCACGGACATGGTTGAGGAGCTTCTCGAGTTCGGGACGCTCACCAATCAAGGACTTGAGGACACAACGGACCATGGTGTTCTTACCCATAAGAACAACAGCTTCACCACGGAGGTTGAAACGGATTTGATGCATTTGGTTGGAACTGACATTATCAACATTGACAATGAAGATGGACTTGTAGGTATCCAAGTAGTTGTTCAATTTCTTGAAGTAGTTGACCTTGTTTTCTCTCTTCGACATGTTGATGATTACTGTTCGAGGACTTTTAAAGAACTATATATATATATATCCATTTTTTTTCTCGTTAGATGGATGGATGCATGCATTTTATTTTTATTTTTCGTTACCTGGCTGGTAGAGGAGGATTCAATCACTTTGGCCCATCCACACATGTCTTTCTAACTTCCTCCACCCATAAGTGTGACTGCTCTTACCTTTTTAGTTTTCTCGTCTCATTGATTGGACAGGACAAACCGTTGACAGGATCCATCGAAATTCAAGCAGACTTTTTTTTTTTTTCTTTTTTTAAAACTGGACCCCTTTCAGCTTAAAAAAAAAACCATTGTCATGTTCACCCTTCGTGCAGCAGCCGCAAGGTCTCAAATTTATACCAACGTCATTAGACCCACTTGTCAATCAAAATACCTATTCCCACTCACCACGCAATTCCATACAACTGCCGCAGTATGGGAAGAAGACGAATTACTTCCTCATAAAGGTTCAGTACAATACAAACTGCGTGGAAAGGTACAACCACACAAAAAGAAACGAATCCTTTCTTTCCCCCCCCCTTTTTTTATATTTACGTGTTGCTTTTTTTAGGGACGTCAATTTGTAGATTTCATTAGAGTGAAAGCAAGAGGAGGCGACGGAGGTAACGGTTGTGTGTCCTTCCAAAGAGAAAAATACCTTGCCAAGGGACCTCCCAACGGCGGTAACGGTGGACGTGGTGGTAATGTCATTATTCGTGCAAGTGCTGACGAGAGTACCTTGAAACGGTTAGGTCGCATGTGTACAGCCAAACCTGGACAGAGTGGTTTAGGTGGTGGAAGACATGGCACCATGGGCGAGACCTTGGTCATCGAAGTCCCTATCGGTACTGTCATTCGAGAAGTGATCAAGGATGAAGAGGAAGAAGAAGAGGAAAGAGAAAGCACTGAGGAGGAGGAAAGAGCTCAACGTGAGGCTCGTTGGGTGCTTTATCCTCGAGCTGAACCCGATGCGGTTCGTTCGGGTAGAGTTAATTTTTTCGAACAAGCAGAGAATTTAATGGATGAAGAGGATAAATATCATCAATGGCGTCTTCGTACAGAAAAGAAGGATCCGGTTGAGATTGATTTGACAGAGGATAAGCAAGAAGTTGTCTTGTGTCGAGGTGGTGCGGGTGGTTATGGTAACCCCTATTTTTTAACAACAGAAAATAGATCACCGAAATGGGCTACCCGTGGTCGTAAAGGAGAAATGAAGGAAATCGAATTAGAATTAAAGACAATTGCAGATATTGGCTTGGTTGGATTACCTAACGCTGGTAAATCAACACTCCTGAGTGCTATTTCGAATGCGCATCCTAAACAAGCTGACTATGCCTTCACAACACTTCATCCTTTTGTCGGTACGGTCGATTATGCAGATCAATATCAATTGACGGTCGCTGATATTCCTGGATTAATCCAAGGTGCGCATCGTAACGTTGGATTAGGTCATGCCTTCTTACGTCATGTAGAGCGTGCAAAGATGTTAGTCTATGTCATTGATGTGAGTGGTCCTACTCCCTTTGAAGATTTAAAAACACTTCAATATGAATTAGAGGCCTATCGACCTGGACTTACAAAACGTCAATCATTGATTGTCGCAAATAAGGCAGATAAGGCAGGTACGGCTAAAGAAAACTTGGCCCTTCTTCAATCCCAAGTCAACAAATCCATTCCTATTGTCCCTGTTTCTGCAAAATTCGAAAAGAACGTACTTAAATTGACATCTGTCTTACGTAAAGAAGTAGAACGTATCAGAGTGGAAGAAGAAGAGATCAAACAGGCCAAATTGAAAGCATTAGATGAGGATGACTTTGATGATGAAGATATCTGAAAAAAAAAACCCCATCCTTCTTTAAAACTGTCACAATTTTTTCTTTTTGTATATACTGTAACAAAAAAAACCAAAAATCAAAATAAATAGAATAGAAAAAAAAAAAAGTATATAAACGCTTTGTTGATTGTTGCATATTTGTTGGTTTACATATATACTGTCATTTTTTATTCCGGTTATTGTCAATTTTTAAATTATCTAGTGATTTCTAGGCAAAAGGGGCTTTTGATTCTTTTCGATAATTTATTGTGTTGCAAGTTCTTCTGCGCGTGCTCTGTTCTTAATCATGACTTCTTTCTTGGCAGCAATGGCAGCTGTTTGTCTTTCTTGGACATTGTAAAGGAAATAACCGACTGATCCAAAAACACCAGCGGCGAGAGCATGGCTACTAGGATCTATCGAAGAGAGAAAGGGGGAGGGTTTCAGCATTAGTCCATCATCGTCCTTCGTCATTTTAAAAACTTTTTTTTCTTTTAAATCATTGACTCACTGGAGAAAATTGGACGCTTTTGAAGACCAAGAGCGTATGTACGAACAAGAACACCAAAGGCGGCGAAACCTGAGACACTGCTAATCAAACTCATATTGAAACTTTTAAAAAAATAGAGAGAAGGGAGTGAGGGGGGAATCTGTTAACGGGATAATATAAAGCCAGTTTATAGATTATTTTTTGTCTTAAAATCAACCCGCAAGGCACCTCCATATTTTCTCAACAAAAAAAAAAAATGATGACATCAGCTTTTTTTTTTTATTTCTGAATAGCGGTGTTAAATCATGCTACTCCCCCCCCCCTCAAATGAATGCTTGCATAATTGTAGTCTTTTCTCCTCTAGTCAGATATAAAAAAGACGCTCTTCTACGTGTTTGCTACCAATACTTTGGTGTCAGCAAACTGTTGTTATTCACTGAGCATTGACAACCCAACTTTCACTGATTAAACAAGTCGTTGCATTTCTGTAAATGGCACAACCGGTCTTGTTTTTGTAGTAAAGTTGATACAACCACATATAGAAGTTATGATTTTTTTTTTAATTGCGTGTGTCGATTCACCAAGCTATTTTTTTGTATAATTATAAAATGCCTTTTATTTCAGAATCATATGGTGGGCGAGAATGAGATCTAGAATAGATGTTTTCCTCCTTTAGCAGCATTTACTTTTTTTTAATTATTGTTGTAACTGTTCTAGGATCATTAAGCGATCATGAACTTTTTTTTTTTTTTTCCAAATGCTAACACTGTTTAACCTTTTATTTATGCCACAACGATTAAACTCGAAATCTTACACTTTGATTAGCTCGTCAGGTGCTACATTTGAAAGATAAGCAACGTATATCAATATTCAGAAACACAATTTGTTCCTTCAGACAACCTCTTCATCTTGTGATACAGAATATTAAAAAAAAAATGCTTGGGGCTTTACTTGAAAATAAAAAAATGTTTCTCCCTTGTTGATTTTATTGTGCAATGATTATTTATGAATGATTTAAATTACTGAATGGGGGGTGGTGGTGAATAAGGTTTTTTATCTAAAGAGGGAGTTAAATTTTCCGGTAAGACTTTCCATGGCAGCATAAATATTGGCTGTGGCGGCACTGGAGTCCATAAAGTTTTCGTCATCAAAATTGGATTCGTTTTCATCAATAGGATCTTCAGAACCTTCATAATCAGGATCCATATGATACTCTTTAATATGTCTGGCTATACGAGTAAAACTGAGAGGACAATGAAACCAACATGATGGACATCCCATAAGAGTACGACGATGAGGCTGTTTCTTTGACTTCCAAACATATTTTACGCTATGAGGTCGGCTCCTTCCGGATGGTCTTGGGGGTAGTTCAGTGAAGTGAAAAACGCGCATATGAGTTCTGAGAGAACTGGCATTGGCAAAGTACTTTTGACAGACATAGCAACCGCTTTCAACGTAGGCAGTAATTCTTGGGTTGATTTCAGGAACCATGGTAGGGCGTTCAGTATCGGACATGATGATTAACCTTTTTTTTATTTGCTTTTTCTTATAAAAAAAAAAGATAGATAGTGTATTTAAAAAAATGGAGGGTATATCTTTTTATATATGAAAAAAGGATATTCATTGTCCTGTAGAAAGGAGATCATTTTGATTGTCAACTATTTACCTATTATATTCACTCCTTGAATATCTTTGATCCTGTTCATTTCATTTAAAAAAAAACATTTACAGTGCTGTAAAACAGCTCAGTGTTGTCTTATTTACGTAGACTTTTATAAATATATGTATACAAGATCAAGGAACGGATAAAAAGTCTTTTTATTTTTCGTTCAGAGAAAACATAGAGTAATGTTTAAAAGGTGCTATTAAAGTACCTAAAACATCCGGACCTTGACAAGTTTTTAATTTTCAAAACAAGAAAAGACAATTAAGGAATAAAAATATGTACTTTAAATGATTCAATGATACATGCAACTCTGTAGTTTTGACTGATTTATTAATCTTATTTATCGTTAAAGTACATTAAATTGTTGGAAGGATTATCTCTATACTTTCATATTCAAACTTATACCAAAACATTTACGAGATGAAAGAAAGGCTATTAAGGAATATGATAAATAAGGGGGGGGGGGTTTCTTTCTTTGTTCCTATTCAATTGAGTAATGTTAACTTTTGGGTTAGACAATAAAAATACTTTAAATCGAGTCTATTTTTTGTAATTGTTCGGCGAATAAAGAATGATTGCGTTTTCCCACTACCAGCGACTCTTCATCATAAGAACATGTAGCCGTGTTAATCCCTGCTTTTTTGATATGGTGTGTCGTTACATGTACATGTAAATTTGCAGCGATAACTTGTAAGATTGCCTATTATAGATATTTACGAGCTTTAAAAGTTTGTTGCATGAAGCTCATACGCTTGATCTACAAGATAACTATTAAATAAAACCTGTCTACGATGATTATATAATCCACAACCTACTTACATTAGTATAGTATGCCTATCTTCAACCCAATACAACTAGAAATATGTACGTCTCTTCATGTTTTTACGACTACTGTTAAAGTTGAGCTACACAGTTACTTGTTTTATAACATGTCCCATTTCGAATGTATATCAGCCCGCTTTTTTGTGCATGAACTAGTATCATGGCAGCTTTTTTTTTTCTTCTCTCTTAACCAGATATATTGAATAATATGATGACAGAAGATCCCAAACGAATGCTTTGAATGCAACCTTTATTATTCAGAATGCAAAAGAACATATTCTCTGGTACTACTACCGAATTTAATCACATCCTTTGCTTTTAACTCTACAAAACGGGTGCTAGGTATTTGGTCCCCATTGATAAAAGTACCATTGGTAGCTTCAAGATCAATAATAAAAGGTCTATAGTTGGGGATGAATAAAAAATAAGAGAAATAGGCTATAACCTTCTTATTAAACTTACTTAACCACCTTTTTGGGTTTCCCATTTTCTCCTTCTTCAGTCACAGTTCTATATTGTATCACTGCATGCTGCTTTGAACAAGAGGGATGATCAACTGGAATATCAACAACCTATCATCCTAAGATGTTAAAATCCCATACAAAAGAGAATCCCTATCTCCCTTTTTTTTTCAAATTTTACCACTCTATCGCGTCCAATTAAGTATGCACTTTGTCTATGAATATGTAATAAATCTACACAGCACGAGTAAGTTTTTTTTTTCTTTTTCCTTCTTTTTTCACCTTAAATAAGCCTTACCAATTTGTTCATCCCCTTTAAAAACATAAAGTCTCCACTTGGTCTTGGGAACCGCAGCTTCCGCAGGTTCATTATATTTCAACTCGACACCTTTTACAGTATTTGTTTCAGCCGCTAGTTTTCCAGAGAGTCCAAAATTAGGTTCTATTTTCTCAATGGGTTCTTCCTCTTCCTTGACATTATCTTCAGGTCTACCCCATTCGTATTTTTTGCTGTTGTTGTTGTTGTTGCTACTGCCTCCTTGCTCTTTCTTGGGTCGGTTCATATCACGTCGAGGTGAAGGACGTCTTTCCGATGCCGGGTGATACCCAGATGGTGGGGAATCTCGTCTTCTAGGGGGAGGAGAAGGACGTCTTCTGGGCGAACGTGAACGTGAGCTTCCCGAAGGCGGTGAACGCGAATCGCGTCTGCGACGAACGGGTGAGCGCGAATCTCGTCTGCGTCTAGCCGGTGAGCGTGAATCGTGTCTACGTCGAGGTGGGGAGCGTGAATCGTATCTACGTCGAGGTGGTGACCGTGAATCGCGTCTACGTCTAGGAGGAGAGCGAGAGTATCTACTCGATCGGACGGGGGATCTGGATCTGTCTTGAGACGAACCTGCTGATGAACCCATTTGTTGTTTTGCTTTTGGTTTCTTTTTACAAAAAAATAAATAAATAAAATATATAAATGAAAATTGGCTATGATTAGGTTGCGACAGTCACGACATATAATATCTAGATACACCCCTTTTTGTTTTTTTTTACCCCAGATACTGTTATCAAAGTCCGAGATATTTTCATCTGAGTGCATACACATGGAGATTAATTCCTTGGTAGCAAGGACACGCATCTGACGATTGCCAAATTTCTTTTCAAGGACTTTCTTGGCTTCGGCCCAAGAGTCACAGACAAGGAGTTCTTTTCTCATCCAAGCTTTCAAGACGTCGGCGAGTGAAACAGTAATTAACTTTTTCCACGTAGTCTTAACGTTTTGATTCGCTGACAATACGACTTCCTCAAAAGTCTTGATGAAATCATCAATGGACTTAAAAACTCTCTCACCACGAAATTGTGCATACGTCTTTCCAGTAATTTGGAGACGAGGCAGATCTGTACGATTTAATGATAAACCTTCATTTGAGGCTGGGTTAGTAGCGTACTTTGATGCTTCGGTACCTTTAATCCCGATGGATGGTACAGGCTTTGAAGTAGAGGCTAAAGATTGGATGATGGAATTCTTTTTCTCAATCTCAAGGGACATTTCATAGGCACGATCATGATCCTTTTTAGATACATAACCGCTAGAAAGAATAGCTACCATGGCTTCCATAGTAGCTTCACGTTGCTTAAGTAGGTTATTAATGATACTAGTGGGGCTTTGTAAAGTTACAGCCGTAATAGGATCAGCTAAAGGCATGTCAGTGTCTAAATCGACTTCCTGATTATCCTGCTCAAATGGAATACGGGCAATGTCTTCATCTACTTCCCTATGTACACGTTCCAGACCCTGAACTTCCTGAAAGAATGGCACAGCTAGAAAAAAACTATCGAAGCAAGCAATACATCTAAAACCAAATATGCAGATTATTCAGATAGTCAGAAAACTTTATTTCTGTATTACTTGCAACTTAAGTTTTTATCTAAGCGCTGCAGCATCAGCTAGAAAAGCTGCGATTAATGTTCGCACTGGTCAGGATTGGGCCAAGAAACTGAAAAATGATCCCGATTTTGATATTTTCGAAAAAAAAATACGAACAAGACTGTCAGGAAGGGGAGTCAGCTTCAGGAAGAGCATAAAGCTTATTTAATTGAATTTTTTGATGACAACCCCACATGCCCGAGTATCCGATGCCCGTTGAAGAACTTACCAAAAGTTTTTGAAGGCTTCACATTGAAAGAAACAGTGGTTGGGAAATTCATTTCAACTGAATGCAATTTGAGTATCAAAAAAAAAATTACTCGTCATCCGGTTGCTAGAAATCAAAACGCAAAGATCAAAGAGAGACGTGGGCAAAAACAGATATGGACTACACCAAAAAATTGTATTTTTATTGATGAGAGTGCTTTTGATATAAATATGAAGCCACCAACTGCCAGGTCAGCTCGGGAAACTCCAGCTAATTGTGACTAGCCCGTCAGCACGAGCTGTCAGTCATACTATTCTGGGAGCAATTTCGACCTGTGGAGTGGTAAACATGGAAATTAGGGGTTCCTCTGACACCAAAGAGAATCAAAGTGGTTGGTGCTCAGAAACAAAAGGCAACAGCTGTTAAATCAAAAGCAACTGGAGGGACTAATGCAGGTCATTACAACAATTTCATCAAAAAAACAATGGATGAAATGGATAAGTACCCTCAATATGAAGGGTTTTACATGATCATGGATAATTCCCTCATTCATGGAAAAAACGGCGAGCTAAGACAACTAGTTGAGAGCAGAGGTTACAAATGTGTTTATCTCCCTCCTTGTTCCCCCGAACTTAATCCTATTGAACAATTCTGGGCTATAGTAAAAGGAAAGGTTAGACGTAACCAATTTGGAAACACAGAAGATCTTAAAACTAGAATATCTGAGGCATGCGATCAGGTTCCTAGAAACCATCTTCGTAATTTTGCACAGCATTCAGTTAAAGTATTCGAAGACTGTTAAAACGAGCTCCCCATATAATTTACATAACAAAATAAACCAACGCGAATTGAGTTGGGAAGAACGCAAAATGATTTTAGTTTAAAGCGAATTGGGATTTAGAAAAGCGCAAATAGAGTTAAGAAAATACGCAAATTGGCCAATAATATTTACGCAAATTGAGATTTAGAAGTGCGCAAATATTTTTTAAAACACGCAAATTGGTTCCGTGAGCACTGTATATTAAGTTGAGTTTGGCAGTTATGCTTCGAACTTTAATAACTATTATGTGCTTTACCACAGTCTCAAAAAAAAAAAAAAAAATAACTTGATGCACGGAATTTCTTTATTTAAAACGAAATATACGAAATATGATTTTAGTACTAAGAAAAAATAGATTTACGATATTATCAGGACTGATTTTTATCCAATTAATCTGTGGACTAACGATTGACGCATTCTGTTTACCAATTCTCTCAGCTGAAGAAAGCAGGGCAAAATATGTCCAACTCTATGCAAGTTTTCATAGTCTTTGGGCAAGGTGCATGTTCTGATCCTCATCATGGTATAAATTCTGGAACTAGTTAAACTCATTCTATAGAATGAGCATTCATAATCTATTCAATTCAAATTAGTTCTTTTTTTTTTTTTTTTTTTTTTTTTTTTTTTTTTTTTTTGTGATCTTAAGTTAATCAATTGGTTACATACCATAGACCATAACACCGTAGACAACAGGTTCGGTCACACCATTCTTGATGAGACGGTTAAGGGTAAGTTGTAGTTTAACTGATAACATAAATAAGTCATCCTCACTAGTGCTTTGTGGGCATTTGACTTCAAATACTAAAAGATCAAAATTTTCGCTTCCAATAGTTGTATAAATTTTGATATCGGTTTTAGTCATGGGGTACCCTTCTAACGCTGTTAAATAGCTAAAAAAAAAATTGGGTCATTCAGAAAAAGTAGTATAATTGTCAGATTATATCAACCATACCCTGATTTTCTAAAATGAGGGCCCACAGGGAACACAGCATTGACAAAAGGGGACAAAGCACAATTTATGAAAGAAATTTCGTCGGCTGTTTGCAAGTTCAAATCGGCATCGTAGTTTGTAACCCTAATAGAAAAAAAAGTCCTAATTATTACAGAGCTTCTTTAAAAGTATATAGTGACAGAGATATGTTTTTTCCACTTACAAGTCCTGTAAGACTCTGGCATACATGCTTAAATCTGGGTGAAACAAATTTCGGTCTACCAAGTTTTTGGCCTGATCATCTGATTGAAGACACTTGTACTATAAAAAGAGAAGTATTAGTAGTGATAAAGGTAAATTACACCAAGTACATGAAAACATTACATTATCAACTTCGTTAACAAATTGGACCTCGGCTTGAGTGGCCTTTCTGAAACCCGTGCTGATTTCAAATAATGTTTTCAGATCTTTCATTATACTATCAGATTCAAAGCAGTATTTGACAACATCATCAGGATGGTTCAAAAGGTATACACGATTTACAGCCATTTTCTCAGTAACAGTGAGTTTGTCATTGAATATAAACTTTCTGCAGCATTGACTTCGGAACTGAGAAAATGTTTCGCTTAAGTTCACTCCATTAACACTCCACTATAAATACAGGTGGTAAGGATCTGTTTATAAAGAAAGTTTTGGTTTGCTTTTGATTTACGTACCGTGGGTTCTAAACTGTTGTCATCGTCCTCTAATTCTTCTAAATTGAAATCATTTGCTGATTCAGTTAGATTGATTTCTTGCGACGTTCCCAGATGTATTGGCTGTACATCCCTCGACGGGATGGGTGCATTGTCTATTGCTTCATGTGATCGTTTTGTTCCACGTGCTACCGATTCTTCATTTTCTACCAATGGAGCCACATCTTGCTGTTGGGACGCAATCTAAACCAAACATTAACAATTAGTGGACTATGTTAATACCATTAAAGCTCTTATATGTGATAGTTTACAGTTTGGGGTCCTGATTTAATCAGTTCAGTGATATGTTTACAAATTTCAAGAACGAGAGGAGTGTTTTTGGGAGCCTATAGAAAAAAAAAGCAATCAAATTTCAGAAATCTCCACGCAAAATGCGAAAAGTACTTGTGAATACTAACCTCAACTGTAATTCCTTTGGTTTTCGCAAACGTATCGACAAATCGTTTTGACCACACTTGGAAAAACGCTTCGGGATTCATCGGATCATCATGCCATTGTACGAAGAAATTAGAATGATCTATGAGGAACCCTATAAACGTTGGATTATTTCCTTGCAATACATAATCAGCTAGATCTGTCAAAAATATCGATAATATGAGTTACATTAAAATAATTCAAGTTTGTGTAAATACATACCACGTTGTCCTTTGTAAAATTCCATGTCCATTTAATGAATAGTTAGCAATAGTCGAGTAAAAGGCAAAAGTTGTCAGGAGAAAGACAGCTTTTAAATTCCCACACAACAAAGAAATGACTTGAACGCTAGCTGTTTCTTTTCTTGTTAAAAAAAAGGAGGAAGTTAATATATTAAACTTGTAGTAGATGTTTCCATTTTAAGTCAAACTCAAACATTTTGAATAATTAAATAGACAATCAATTCATCTTGACGTAGGCCAACTCTTCTTTATCAGTTCTAAAAATAAATTTCATTCTCCCGGCTCCCGACTCTGGCTGTTTCCACACCCAGTAATTCAATTGACATAAAACAAATTCCTTTTTTAAATCCATAAAATAACCATTGACCAAATCTGCTTACTTTGTAAGTTTTACGTGTAAATATATGAAGCTTTATACGAAAAAAAAGCCCATATTGGTACGGATATTATCAGATTGAGAAATGAACACAGACAATCGAAACGTGTTTGATTTAAATGACATGACCTATGTTGTCCAGGAACCTCTTCCTGTATTTCCTATCAATAGATACAAGACTGCAGAAGAAGTTGTAAATGTTATCAAAAAATAACAGCCTCGGAACATGCCGTAGAATCATAATGGTTAAGCTGACTATGGAGCTTCTTCACTGTTGTTTTGCTGCGAATGATTACATATATGCCAGTGTCGGATCAAATTGTATCTCTTTTCTTAGCTTCTTGGGTGAACCTTTAGTTCCTATCTTTTTTTTTACTAGATTAATTTCCACTTAAACTGAAAGACTTTTCGATTCACAGTCGAGCCCACTTAATTTTTAAGATTTTTTGATTCCCAGTTAGTCAGACACCCACTTAATTCTTAAGACTTTTCGATTCAATTCCTGATATTTGGAGCTTTTTAGTGTACGTTATTTGGCTCGGATACAAAACTCAAGTGTGCAATCAGCGCTAAAAAAAAATACGGGTGTGGAAATCAAAATATCAGCTGCCAGAGTCGAGTGCTGGGTGCGGATATCCCAAAAAGGAAAATTACCGGGTGCACGTTAATGGCTTTGAAAAAAGTTAAGGTACAAGTTTCATAATATTACAGCTACGGTTAGTCTTTGCAACCTCCCATGTTGGGTTCTTAGGTTTTGGGCGATTATTGGATGGTTCTGGCTGAGATTGCTGTAAGTATTATATGTAACAAAAAAAAAAAAGAAACCAGATTCTAAAAACAGTAGTTCTCATAAAACCTTACAGTAACTACGGTAGACCTCACACGGTAGCCACAAGAGGATAGCTCTTGAAAAAGGTGTAGGTGTCGTATTTGGGTACGATTAACTTAAGAATAATAAACTGTACTGTTGATCCCTCTGACTAATATTTATTTACTCAGTATGGAAGGGCTAAATTTAAAGACATGTTGATTATTTACTATCACCAGATTATTACATCATGATCCAATAAGGCGCTTAATATTCTCCCTAGAACTATTCCAGTTCTTTATATAAATATCCATAGTTTTTTCTCATAGACCATCAATACATTTTGAATACGTTTTTTAATTAATTTATTTTTTTCGTCCATAATAAAGTGTTATCCAAGTTCTAACAGTATCACTTTTGGTTATTTCAATTTTGTTCTCCATTCAAAGCAATCAGTCCTGATACCATCATAAGTCTATTTTTTCTTAGTACTAAAATCATATTTCGTTTTAAATAAAGAAATTCCGTGCATCAAGTTCTTTTTTTTTTTGAGACTGTGGTAAAGCACATAATAGTTATTTAAGTTCGAAGCATAACTGCCAAACTCAACTTGTTAATAGAAGAGGAGGAGACTCTTGTTGTCCCACCCCATGTTCTGTTTCTATTTTTAAATTATTTGATTATTTCTTTATGAATGCGGTTCTATATTTATTCCAAAAATCATGTTATTTTATTATTTATCTTTATAATTATAACACAATAAAATTATGCGACGTTATGAAGGATAATGAAAGTCAAACATTTGGACGGTTCTGGCTAAACAGAACTTATATCCAAATTTACCTTGTTAACTCTACCAGTCCAGCTTCTCTTTTTAGCTACCGACTGCAAAAATATTCTTACAATGACAATGAATAAGTCCCAAGATCACCCATTAATAAATGTAACAGTTGATCTACAAGCTCTAGTGGAAGAATTCCAAAACCCCCTTCGATTAAGGTCAAATTTTAACTTAATTTTTGTCTGAATGTTTTGGAAGCCTTACCGATTTTAATCGGAAAATGCTTTAAACGAAGTTTGAATTAAAATTAAAATCAAGGGAAAAAAAGTTTCGGAAGAGTATATTTACACATAACCAATTATACATATATACCTCTCTCTAAAACCACCTCAGCATACGGCATTTCTAGATATATAAACAATACATCACATATGTATCCGGAATTGCTCATCAGTACCTAAATTATTATCATTTCTTATCACAAAAAAAAAAAAAAAAAAATCTATATTTGTTATCTTTGATCACTATGGTAACATTTTATTTGGTTTATGCAAATAGCCATTTGTCAGTAAAAATATTTTATCAATAAATGATAACTATTTTGGGACTCCTCGTTAAATTGAACTTTGAAGTCACTATTGATAACAGCATAAGCATAATCTTGATCTAAAGTTTCAGGTATTGTAATTATTTAATTTGTTAGTGATATATAGTTTTTCCAATTTCTCACTACTATCATATCGCTGTCTAGCTATCACAACAAGACATTTTCTGTCACATCTAACTATCCAGATATTATGTTTATATAATACGAAACATTTATACCGAAGCAACTTGCGTGTTATTTAAAGGATCATCTTACATTTGATTGAGGGTTTTTTTTTTTTTCTGTTTGACACAACACTTTAAACACTAGATTGGGAAATAACTTTATTGACCCTTCAAGTGAATTATACAAGCCAGACATATCCCTTTGGCAGCTTCATCATCTCCTGCAAAATGTTTATACAGATCTGAAATATAATTCGGAGCAATGTTCTGGAAACGTTCCGTCAAAAGGCTACTATAAGGATCCACATGCAAGGCGCACAGTAGGTCTCATAAGGTAAATAAAAAATTTCAATTGATAGGTTTAGACATTTTTATTGATTTCCCTAGATGTTTTTATATTATATCATACCGATATGCATGCTCTTCATGTAAAGTAACCTTTAATACTCATAATCCTAAATTGATGGCACAACTTCCAATTGAGTTGCAAGAAGCTTTCCCTGCAATCACAACCCATAAAGGTGCGGTATCTCGTGAAGTCGCAGATCTTCTTAGACCTTGTGCATAGAATTCAGTCAGACCAAAGCGTTTTTCTAAAATTATCAGAGAGATTCACATGCTCGAGCATGATAGACTGGAGTTGATCTACACAGTGTTAAAAACACAAATTCGTGATATAACCGACATGTCGGAATACTATTACCATAGTTTGTCAGTTAAAAGTCATTTACGTAACTACCAATAGATATTTTTTTATCAAGAAAAAGTAAAAATTTGGGTTACTGTTGCCCGGGAAAGAAACTCTTTTTTTTGTACAGTGAGCCCATTTATGGTATAAATTAAAAAACAGTAAATAAACAGAACTTTTTTCTTTATTAGACAACAAAATTTTTCAGGAGACATGTTTGCTGCTGTGGAAAAAGCGGGTAATTAGAACGCCGTCCTAAAATGGCAATTGAGTTACACACTGATGTTCTCAACCTCGATTCCATGTCTTTTGACAAAAACAAACTCTCTCTCTCTCTCTGGCTTAGTGTCAATGTGTATTATAAAGTAGTAGCAAAAAGTATTCCATTTATGCTCTATTTTATTCTAAGTAGTACAACGTTGTTATGTCTGTAATTCTGCTTCCTTCAATTACAATTTGGTCTCAACAGAACTTTCCCACGGGTCTTCTGGCATAAAAAAAAAAAAAACTTTTGACATTTTTTCAACACAGCCAAAATTGCTCATCAATGAAATGTGTCATTTCGGGGGAAGGGGGGTCAAATCGCTTTTTATAATTGAGAGAGAGACATGAGCTCTAAATTATCAATGGATCTAAATCCTAAGCACATTGTAATGTGAGGTGCCTACATGAAATAAAGTAAAAAAAATAAAATAGCTAATTTTTTTCTTTTCGAAAATGAATGGAACAACTGTCCCGAACGTGTTACGGAGAACTGAACATGTGTGCTATTTTTGCCGTTTTTATCAAGAAGTCTAGGTGAATTAAAACTGGATACTACATTCTACCGACACGTGTTTTTTTCAAGAGAGGAGTGTGTATAATAAACCACCAATACCTTTGAGAAGACTTTGTTGAGTCATAGTTTCTCAAAATAGCTTTTTTTTTTTTGAATTTTCCCCGGAATTGTTTTGTATGATGCCATTTTTGAACTTCCTCCAAAAAAAAAAAAGAAACTTTTGATGCGTAGTTTTCTCGCTCTCTCTCTCTCTCGGGATCAATGTTCATGGTATGTACGCAAACCATGAATGAAAAGAAGTTATTAAAAAATAAAATTGAATGCGTGAAATAACATTGATTACAGTTTTCTAAAAGTTGTGCCGCATGGGCCAATTATGCGTCAAAATAATGTAAACATTTGGGTTAATGTGTACCTTTTTTATCTTTCTTTTTTGAGTCGCACTACCGGAAGGTTCTTGCGTACATTTTTTTTTTTTTTGAATTTAAAAAGCCCGTCTGCCTACCATAAACAGCATGGTACCCCTTCAGTTCTACTTCTGATTTCTAATCAGAACCGTCCCCGAAGCTGCACTTCTCTTTTATAAAAAAAAAACAATCGGTATTTGCGCATGTGGTAGAGTTTATCTAGATTAAAGAAGAAGAAGAAGAAAAAAAAAGAGTCAATTCATTTGTAATAAGGTTTACATGTATTGTGCTTATTAGGAAAGATTAGTTGTTAAGGTTCCGCTATAGAATTTTTCTTTTTTTTTTATCTCTAGGTGAGTCATGGAATTAGTTCCAGAACTCGGTATTTGTCCCCTTTTTTTTTTTTTTTCTTTTGCAGAATATTGAAATATGATGCAATGGGCCGGGAAAGGTTTTTTTTTTTTTAATTTCAATATGATACGATAATGAAATCAGACACTCTTTTTTTTAAACCTTCCGTGTACAAATGTTAACAAACTTTTTTTTTTCTAATGATTCCATTTCCCGAACAACTAGACTAAAAGAAAAAAAAAATGAATTTTTTTGAATCGCAGATGTACATCACTTTCCTTTAACGTAATATTTTTATGTAAAAAAAATTAACCCCCCCTCCCCCCACTTTATTTTGGCAGCTATTGGCTTTATTTCTAAGCTACACAAGCCAATCAATTTTTTTTTTTTTTTAATTGTTATAAATTCAGTTTTAAAAACTTTACATTTTTTACCTTCTTTTCTCCAATCTTTTTTATATATATTTTTATTTTTTTTGCAAACAGAATTTATTTTTTTGTTTTTAATTTTTGATTTTTCAGCAAAAAAAAAAAAAGATGTCAGAAAAGACTTCGATCGAAGCGTATCATACGCAAACAATTGAACAAGTGGCAAAACACTTTGACACACACTTAGAAAATGGTCTTTCAACAACAGACATTCCTGCACGACACACCCATTATGGATTCAACGAATTATCAGCAGACGGTGGTCCCGCATGGGTCAAAGTCATGATTGGCCAATTACTCGATGTCATGAACTGGATATTCATCGCCTTGGCTGTCGCTTCCTATTGTTTAGCGGATTATATCACCGGATCCTTATTACTTTTCATTGCCCTTTTAAATCTCTACTTGGGTTTTTCCCAAGAATATGCTGCCGAACAAACTTTGGCTGCCTTACGTAGTCTCTCCTCACCAACCGCTCAAGTCATTCGTGATGGCGTAGAGCAAACCATTCCTAGTCGTGAAATCGTTCCCGGTGATATTTTGCTCGTCAAGGAAGGTGATTCCGCTGGTGCCGATGCTAGACTGATCTATGTTTCCAATCTTGAAGCTGATGAAGCTTTATTAACCGGTGAATCTGTTCCTGTTGCTAAGCAATTGGTGTTACTGGAAAAGCCAGGTAAAATGGAAACATATAATTGTTTTATTTTTTAAAGTATGTGACAACTAACTTTTCTTACTTATTTTTTTAAACAAAAAGATGAACCATTGGGCGATCGTATCAATATGCTTTATTCTTCCACCATTATTTCCAAAGGCCGAGGACAAGCGATTGTAACTTCCACAGGCATGCATACAGAAATCGGTAAAGTGGCTTCTAAACTCAACGAGGCCAATGACAGCGACCGTACCCGTCTCCAGAAGAGTCTTGATAAGATGTATGTTCTTTTACTGGTAGCTTCTGTCATTTGTGTGATTATTGTTTTAGCTGCCGTTAAATTCAAGCCGGATTATGACACTGGCATGTATGCTATGACGGCCGCTCTGTCTGTCCTGCCTGCCGGTTTGACAACCGTCATGACCGTCACATTGGTCTTGGGTGGTAAAGAAATGACGCGACAAAAGGCCATTGTGCGTAAACTCAAATGTCTCGAGACGCTTGGTTCCGTCACCAACATCTTTTCGGATAAGACCGGTACTTTGACCATGGCGAAAATGGTGGTGGTTCGTTTTTGGACCCCTCTAGAAGGTTACTTTTATGTCGAACCCAACGGTTTGGCTCCAAAGGGAGATGTCTATTCAACCCGTGACAGATTATGTGATAAAATCTCGGATGACGTACATGCCCAATTAGTCGATAAATCCAACCTTTCCCATGAGATCGGACATCTTGTTCAATGCGCTGCTCTTTGCAATATGTCAAGCATTTACCCACGCGAGGAAGAAGATGTTATGGACGAAAAGAAGAAGGATCCTTTGGCTGAAACTGAATCGGATGATTGGATTGCCAGTGGTGCTCCTACCGAAGTAGCTCTTCAAGTCTTTGCTCATAAATTCGATATGGGTAAACCCCAATTACTTGCCAACGGATGGGAACTATTAGCTGAATATCAATTCGATTCCACCATCAAGAGAATGTCTACCATTTGTTTAGAAAAGAACACGGGTTTAGTCTATGTTTTCACAAAAGGTGCGGCTGAACGCGTCATTGAACTCTGTAACAATTTGCCAACAGAAAAGGAACGTCAGGACGTCCTTCAAAATGTGAACCAGTTGGCTTCCAAAGGATTACGCGTCATGGGTATGTCTTACCGCAAACTCGATTTACCCGCAGATGTGACAGCCGAAGAATTAATGCAAGGCTCCCGTGATGATGTCGAACGTGATTTAATCTTTTTGGGTTTGACCGGTATTTATGATCCTCCTCGAAAGGAATCCAGACAGGCTGTCAGTGAAGCGCATCGTGCAGGTATCTCTGTCCACATGCTTACAGGTGACCATGAAATCACCGCTACAGCTATTGCTAAAGAAATCAATATTTTGCACAAGAATTTATCTGCCCATGACCTTCAACGTCTTGTGATGACCGGCACCGCTTTTGACGCCATGACGGATGAAGCCATTGACGCCTTGGAAGATTTACCACTGGTCGTGGCTCGTTGTTCTCCTGAAACCAAAGTGAAAATGATTCAAGCTTCTGCACGTCGTAACAATATTGCTGCCATGACAGGTGACGGTGTGAACGACTCCCCCTCACTTCGTATTGCCGACGTCGGTATTGCCATGGGTAAAAACGGTAGTGATGTAGCCAAGCAAGCCTCTGATATTATCTTGACCGATGATAATTTCGCCACCATTATTCGTGCCATTGCAGAAGGTCGTCGTATCTATCAAAATATGCAACGTTTCTTGTTATATTATTGGATCTTGTTGTTCAGTTTAGCGCTTGTGGTTCTTGTTTGTTTAGCCGTACGTGATCCTTCGGGTCGTAGTGCAGCTCCCATGTCTACCTTACAAATGATCTTTATCTATGTCGCTATTACACCACCCGCCGGAGCTCTCAGTACACAACCTGCCTCCAAAACCGTCATGAAGGAACCCCCTCGTCCCCCTACCGAAAGTATCTTTAACCGAGAAATTATTATGGACACCGTGGCCTATTCAGTGGGTATGGCCATTGTTTGCTTGGTTGCCTTCTTTGTGCCTCTTTATACCTTGGGTGATGGCGTGGGTGGTATCAACTGTGATTCTCATTATGTGGTCGGTGCCTGTGATTCCTTCTATCGAGGTCGCACATCACTCCTTGTCTCCTTTACTTTTTCTTCCTTGGTGGTGATGGTGCATTGTCGTAGTTATCGTAACATTGAATGGAATTTGGAAGGTATCCGTGAGACGCTTCATAATAGCACCTTTGTGGGTACATTTATCTTTGATATTGTGACACTGTGTATCTTTATCTATGTACCTCAAGTCGCGATTGAAGGATTTCGTATGCTGGCCATCACGTGGGAATGGGGTCTTGATTGGGGGCTTATTTTGTTCATGATCCTTTACGGTGAAGCATTCAAGTGGGTAAAGCGTACCTTTTTGAAACCCATGGATTCGGGTGCTGTCGATGATGAAGAATATGATCTTCATCATGTCGCCTAAAAAAAACAAAAAAGGGCTTATATCTATTGCAACTACCTTTTTATTATTATAATTATTCCCCCTTTCATATATATATATATTTTATTATCATCCCATTACTACTACTACTTCTACTTTTTTAATAAAACCTTTTTTATATATATATACACTTTTTAAACAATCGAGATACAAAATAAATCATGGTTTGTGACATGTAAAGGTACGAGCATCATATTCACTTTTAACAACCCATTTACTTCATTCCAGTCAAAATCCACCGTGTGTCCATCCACTGTAACTCCTTCTGGTCTTTTATCCATCCAAAACCCACATAAGCCTCGATGCGTCAACCACACTTGATGATACTCTCCATGATCTATTTTATCAATCGCCCTTGTCCCATTGAACTTGTCAATCAAACCCAAACAAGCGATCGAAACCCCTTTTCTTTCCATCACGGGACTCAGGGATACCAAACAAGAAGCAAATCCTTCCACACGCACACTCATCACATCGTGTCCCTTCTTCAATGTGTACACATGACCTTCATCCATACCACCATGGACAACATAGCCTACCATCCATGGTGCATCGGTGGTCACTATCCCCACTTGCTCACATGGTCCCGTGTTCCAAAATCCATGCAGACGGTAATCATTGTTATTTGAGTTCCATAGTTGAAGAAGTGCACCCTGATGACGGCTCATGGGGTCTCCAAATACAGTGTCCAATGTAGGGTAAGGAGGTTGCTTACAACGCAAGATGGTATACCCCTCATGTCTCGTTTGTCCCACAAGTCTGTATAGAAGGGTGGCGTCATGTTTGTCCTCTTCATCCGTAATATAAATAGGTCCACCCGAGATAGCCCGGCTAAATTTTTTTTATACAGAAAAAATGGAATGAGTCTCGTTTTTTTAAGATGAATAAGCTATCCCCCCCACATACCTTGTGGCGTGGTATACTGCAAAGGGATGAAGGGATTGAAACATATCCCAATCACCCACCAAATGAGCTGTCCATAAGGCATTGATGGCATTGGCATAGATATGCCATGAATGACTCTCCTTTTCATGGGGGAAAAAATCATCACTGTTACGAAATAAACTGGCACTAGGGAGCATGGGATGAAATAAGATATGCGGTGTGAGTGCCATACTGTGAACGACATGACCTGAGAAAAATGAGTCGGCAGCATCTAACATGGCTTGACGGTAAAGGTCCCACCTTTCCTCTGACGTAACTTGGGCACCTTGATTATCCACCTTGACAAAATCTACACCCGATGCATGTAAGAAATGATAAAAGTCATGATAAAATCCCTGTGGATCCTGTACAAGACCCATGTCCCTGCAGGCATCATAGCTGTACTTTTGTGCCAGATTTTTTTCTATGCCATGCCAATATCCCCATAAAGCCTAAAAGATATAAACTTTGTCAGCTCCCCCCTCTCGATTGTGTATTTTCTCGTGTATGAGTCAGCTCTTTCTAATCCTTTTTTTTTTTTTTTACATGCCATACGCCAATCGATTCTATCCACGGATAATCGGATTTGATCTGTTTCAATGTCATTTTTAACCCGTTAGGAAAGGTCGTAGGGTTGGCTTCCATGGAAACCATCTCATCCTTTTCATTCACTGTTTGCCACCCATCATCTAAAATCAAATAACCCACAGGGATCTCCTTTCGCTTTAAACTCGTTAATACCCTGTTCAGCTTATCTGCACTCACTGTCTTTCCAAAGGCATCCCAAGTACAATACCCCAACTTGTTCAACATGAAATTCTCTTTTGTACTCTTCTTCTTCTGTTTATGTCCCAGTATGTATCGTACCGCTGTCTGAACCAATAAACGGACATCCTCCTTCTCCTCTGTCACAGCCAAGATCACGTCACCCTCATGATGATGATTTAATAGGATTGTGTCATCCGTACCTGGTGACATCCATCCACCGTTGTCAACAATCATCCATAAATAGATTTGTTCCGATTCTCCACATAAAACCATTTGCCATTGTTGATCCTTTTCTAAACTTGTGACCGGTGTCAACCAACACGACCTTTAAAAAATAAATAATGTAGGTTATTAAAAAAAAAGCTCTCCCCCCCCCCCCCTCTCTCTCTCTCTATATCTTCCTTTTAATATATATATATATAGATCAAAGTTACCCTTTCTTGATACAGGCAACAAAGGACTGACGATTGAATGGACGTAGATGACATGTGGAATGATGCTGGGTTCGAAAATGATATAGATCCACTTTACCTCGCTGTTCATTGATAAGACAGAGTGCGTTGTCAGGTAGTACGAGCGGTGACAATGGTCTCTTTGGACGAGAGACGTGTACATGACGATTTTGTTCATAGTGACCATACCAAGACCAAGGTGCCTCCATGGATTGTTTAAAACGAAACGTGTACTGATATTCACCTGGGGGTAAAGTGTCTTTCACGGTGAGCACGTATTCATCTCCTTTATGAAGAAAGGAACGTGCATGCCATGTCCCTGTGATGGAGAGATTGGACCATAACTCTAAATGGTTCACATGGATACCTCGAACGACGAAATGAATGGGACGATCGTATCCAACTGTGTGTGTGTTGGTATTGGGATAGAATAGCCATGATGAACTTTTTGTCATTTAGAAATATTAAAAAAAAAAAAGAAGCCAAGTAACAGCAAGCATGAAAAAAAAAAGGGCTGAGTTTGGGAGGTAACAAAGGTGTCACTTTTTCTGTGTGTGTGCGGTGCGTGGGGGAGGGAAGTCAGCAGGGTAACATAGATCGCAGCTTAAAAAAAAAAAGAAAAAAATCGTCATCAGTTTCTCCTTCCGTTTTCTTTTTTTTTTTATTTATTTATTTAGGGACAGTGTGTCTATTTTAGAAGGCTGGGGGGAAATAAGAGATAGAGAACTTTCTTTTTTTGTTGTGATTTATAATAAAAAGGTTGTCAAGAGAAGGGGTTGATTTGTAAAAGAAAAAAAAAAAAAATGCGTGATTACTAAATTAGGATAATTCTATGATATCATTTGTGATTTTTTTTTTTTTTGCGTCTAATTAATTTTTTTTTTTTTTTTTTTGTTTCTTCTTTTTTCCTTTTTCTTCTTTTTGTTCGCTTCTTTAAACAACAAAACGCGTTTTTCTTTATTTAGAGAAGAACAAACATTGGACATAAAAAGACCTCAAGCCGAGAAAAAAAAAAGAAAAAAAAGAGGGGGGACGGGAAAAGCGAGCGAGCGACAGACAGATAGAAAAGAAAAAAGAAGTAAAAAAAAAAAAAAAAAAGAAAAGCAGATACAATTATTTTTTTTTTAGAAAAAAAAAGAAAAAAAAAAAAAGTGTGTGGAATTTCTAAACATATATATGACAAGTGATGCCAAAATAGCATCTAACAACACACCCATTGTGACATTACCACTGGATCGCATATTCTCCTATCTTGAACGTCCAGACCTTTTAAAAACAACACTCGTATCCAAAGACTGGCACATTGCCTCTTCCAAAAAGCTTTGGTCCAAGTTTAAATTCGTGCGAGAGAAAGAGTTTGAAAGGATCTTTCATATCCTCTCCAAGAACAAGTCCTACGGTCATTATATCTCTCATCTGGAACTCATTCATTCAGATAAAGACTTTTATCTCAATGCAAGTCATATTTTCCTCATCACTTTGCTCTGTCCAAATTTACTCTCCATTTCCATCACCTTTCATCATACCCGCTCTGTAGCGCCACCCGCCAACATCAATAGACGCTTACCCCCGCCTCTTTTACCAAGGCAACAGCAACACATACAGCAGCAACATCCACATCCACAAAGACCCGTCTCGGCTGCTCATCCTCCTCTTCATTTGCAGCAGGTTCATCAGCTACAGAAGCAGCCTTTCCTACCACAACCACCACAGCAGCAACAACAACAACAACTACAACAACCACAACAACAGCATCAGCAGATGAGACCTCCCCCTCACGGTGCCCCTTCTCCATCAGCAGCAGCAGCAGCAGCAGCAGCAGCAGCAGCAACACCACGTCATACGCAAAGCCTGCCTTTAGCACATTTTGCCCACAACTGCCCAAAACTAAAATCGATCCGACTCCATTCGTATTCACCTAAAACCGACGATTCGGTGTACGAGATGGCCAAATACATGACCTGGCGGTGTCTGGAATCCATCACCTTGACCAATTGCACGACGATTCAGAGTTCGACCCTGTGCAAGTTAGCCATGACGAACCCACAACTGAAATCGGTCGAGATCATGGGGACCACACCCATCAGTGACAGTAGTTTAGCGACGTTGGCGAATGGTTGTGGTGGGACATTGGAGTACCTAAGTATTGGGAATGCCTGTCAATTGACGGATAAATCGATACGTTACATTGCAGCCAAATGTGTGCGATTACGACAAATTTGTATATTTAATAATGATAGAGAAAAGATCAGCCAAGATACCCTGACGGCCATCATACAGCAGTGTCGTCAACTGCGGATGATGAGTATCAGTGACTCGCGTTGCTTGGGGACGGAATTCTTTGCAGCGGTGGTGCAACGTGTAAATAATGAAATGGAGACCCTCCGTAGTCAAAGAAAAGGACAAGAGATTATAAAAGAGGAATTCGGGTTGCAGACATTGTGCTTGGGTGCGGTGAGTCGACAGGTCATTCATAGCCCTTGTATGGCTGCTCTCATTGACGTTAGTGCAAGTAAACATGACCCTCCTCAACAGGAAGAAGGAGGAAAAGGAGGAGAGGATGACGATGATGCGATAGACATTCTAGACATATCCGATCAATTGACGCATTTGATCAACACGACTAAATTTATGCCAAAATCAACTGTCATTCGTGGCAATACCATTTGGTGGCAAAGACGCCGCATTTCGTTCTAATTTAACAATTTTTTTTTTTTTTTTAAACAAAAAAAAAACCATGTAAATATTACTAATAAAAAAAAAAAAACCATAATTCTTTTTAAAAAAAAAAAAAAAAAAAAAAAAAAAAAAAGTGTACAATTTAAGAACAAATTTATATAAGGGAGGGGGTGGAAGGTTTTAATATAGATTATTTCTTATTTTTTTATATATATCGTATCTCGCTCTAAACTTCAAAGTTGGAAGGGTTACGACCTTCTTCTCTGAGAGTATCCCACTTTTCAATCTACAATATTTCCCATTAGTTCACACTGCACAACCTCTTTTATAACAACAAGGTTTGCTTACCCATTCGTTAGGACACAAAGCGTGATAAGCTCTGAAAAATTGCTTGCAAGGAGCGAAATCTTCACCACGAGCGTTAATACACTTGTAGTAATCAACATAGTTCTGCCAGCAGCTACAAAAAAAAAAAAAAGGCTGTTAGTTTTTTTTTTTTTTTTTTTTTTTTGGGCTTCTATTTTCGGGGTTTCTCATACTGCTTAGTCTGGTTGGTGTTGGGGAAACTACAAAAGAGAGGGGGGGGTTAGTCGACTTATTCTCTCATTGACTTCACAAATAAAAAACACGTTACCGAGCATCGAAACCAGCTAAATAATGAATTAATTAAAAAAAAAAAAAAGTTTAGTTTCATTCTCCCACTCTATATATAAATAAAACACGCCATGGGGTGGTGCATGTGTAAAAAATAATATACCGGTGGATAACTTTGTAACTTCAGCAGCGTCAGACATGGTTAAATTAATTTAATGAGTTAAAAAAAAAGAAAAAACAAAAAAATAAAAAAAGAGACGGGTTTGCAACTAAAAAAAAAAAAAAATTTGTGGGGAGGGCCTGGTTCACCGCCAGATTACGATGTCATCAATTTCTGTGTGTGTGTGTGTGTCTGTGTGTGCGTGTGTGTGTGTGTGCGATGTCTGCGGTGTTTCATTTTCTCGCTTTTTTTTTTTTTTTTGACATTGAACCCGCTTTTTTGCGTCCCTAGGATGCCAACAACAGCAACAATAACAATAGCAACAGTTTTAATGGGTAAGATATACCCTTTCAAGTCGTGGTAGAAACTGAAGGCCTATAGAAACCATTGGCCTTACAGAGTAACTCAATAAAAAAAAAAAAAAAAAAAATCGGCCGATATATTTCAATCCTTCTACTTTAGGACATGGTTTATTAATATGAGTTTTAAAAAAGAAGAGAGTGTACAAATCCTCCACCCTACTCACTGTAAAGATTATGCTCTGTATAAAAAAAGTGTAGAGTTCATTAAAGCACTTCATAACTTACATATATTCAACTTACAAAAAAAAAAAAGAAAGCGAAGGGGAAGGGAACGTGGTCTCCGTCATCTACACTTCAACATCCCTCTCAGTAAGTAGAATTGGTGGAGGGGCCTATTGATATATCCTCCCTTTCAGCTTATCCGTGATGACTGAAGAGCACACTACAGTGTCTCATTTTATCACACTTTGTTCTATCGTATTTTATCACAAAATAAAATTAAAATCAATTTTCTCCCTCCCAAAGCGTGTTTTCATTGGACAGTCACTTGATGCAGCAGCAGAGCCCTTCCGGGGCGGGAGCCAAAGTTCCTTTTCTTTTCTTTATATATATTCACAAAAAAAAGAAATGAACCACATTGAGGACTTTGTGACATTAGTACGAGAATCCTATGAACATCAAGATAGAGAACAGTTTAGTCAATTGATTAGCATCGATGAGACGCATGGTGTGGTGTCAGGGCTAATGCAAGCTCTTAACCAGGTAACATGGGGGGTGCTACAAAGTAGAGAGAAGGGGAGGAGACTGATTTATATTAGGTGAATGAGACACAAGTGGAAAAGTTAGTGACGAGTCAATTAGAAGACACATCGTTTGCTTTATCTGAATGCATAGTAAATTACCTTCATATGATACGTTATTTATACGATACCGATATAGAAGCCTTGTTTGAAAAGTTTGCCACCTTTTACAGGTAAGAAGGATAGAATTAAAAATTAAAGGGCGTCCTATTTTAATAGTAACAAGACTAGTTCGTTTATTCCTGTCTTTAATGGATCCGATACATTTTATCAAGTACCTGTCATGAATACGCTTTCTACCAACCTAGTCGAACTCGCGCTAAGTGTAAATCATTGGAATTTGCATTAAAAAAAGGGAGGTGTTGACTAATTTGGGTGTGTGTGTGGCAAAAATTTGTAATTTGTAGGTGGATAAAACGGGATTAAAAGGAAAGGCACGTAAAGCAAATACAGCTGCTCGATTACTTTCGAAAGTGTTTAATATCATGTTGGCAGATCGTTCACCTATTGACAGTTCTAAACGACAAGGTATATTTCATGTCACTAATTTGGCCTTCAAGGTTTACTTTCGCTTAAATTCGATGCGCATGTGTCAAACCTTTATTTCCAATATTCGTACGGGTGGATTGGACCTAGACCTCTTTCCAATCAGTCAACAAGTCACGTATAAATACTACCTGGGAAGATACGCATTATACAATGGTCAATTGAAAAAGGTTTGGATAGATTATAAAAAAATATTTTTAGTGTCTATATTAGACTCAACTAACAAAATCAAAACATGAAAAGGCTCAGGATTGCTTGCTGTTTGCTTTTCAAAAGTGTCACATAGGACATTGGCATAATAAGCGAGTGATTCTTCATTACTTGATACCAACACGCATTATCTTGGGACATTTTCCTTCATTGCAATTACTAGAAACCTACGAATTGACAGCACCTTATGCTGACCTCCTAAAGGCTTTACGGTCCGGTCATTTGAAGGGGTATTTGCAACACTTGGAAACCTACTTTGATTACTTTTATAGTCATCTGACCTACCTGTTATTAAAAGAAAGGGGGATCGTGCTTGTTTGGCGTTGTTTAATTAAAAACATGTAGGTGCTTTTTTTTTATTGTTTTTTATTATTATTATGTATCATAACCCCCCTCTCTCTCTTTAAAAGGTATCATCAAAAGCAAAAGTTAAATCAGACAATTCCTGTCATTGAATTTCGGGACTGTTTAAAAGCATTTTATTTCGCTTCTCCAACAGGTACATCGTATACGGTGGAAGACATGGAATGCATTCTCGTATCACTGGTGAGCCAGGTAAATAAATAAGAAAAAAAAAAAGGGGGGGGACAAATCAATGATGAATCTAATATATATATAAAAAAAACCAGAATTACATTCGAGGTTATCTGCAACACAGTAAACAACGTCTCGTACTAAGTAAAGTAAATGCATTTCCTCCTATTTCGCATGTCCGAGTTCACGTTGAGCGTTACAATGAAGCCGTACTAGAAGATCATATGATGCATGCTCAACCACCTTTACCCGAAGAGATCCAAGCTTACATTGATCATGAATAACAACAGTGATAAACATTACGTTTTTTTATAATATATAAAAAAATCACGATACATAAAATAAAGAAATTAAAAAAAAAAAAAGGTATTTATTAAAAGAATATTTATCCACCGAAACCATAGAGGGTACGGCCTTGTCTCTTGAGAGCATAGACAACATCTAAAGAGGTGACAGTCTTTCTCTTGGCGTGTTCAGTGTAAGTGACGGCATCGCGAATGACGTTTTCAAGGAAGACCTTGAGGACACCACGGGTTTCTTCGTAAATGAGACCAGAGATACGCTTGACACCACCACGACGAGCGAGACGACGAATAGCAGGCTTGGTAATACCTTGAATGTTATCACGGAGAATCTTTCTGTGACGCTTAGCTCCTCCCTTTCCGAGTCCTTTACCACCTTTTCCACGACCAGTCACTATTAGATACAATGAGTACAATTGATCATTTCATGAGACATAATTTTTTTTTTTTTTTTTTTATTACTTACTATTAATTATTTAAATAAAATGGGGAAAAAGAAGAAGAGAAAAAAAAAAAGAAAGCAATTTTAAACTGGTTTAATTATATAGAAAAATTTTAAATGATGACGACAAAAAAAAAAAAAAATTCAAAAACGCCAATAGCAACGCGATTCTTTACGCGTTTTTTTTTTTTTTTTTTTTAATTTTCATGAAAAAAAAAAAAAGGTGTATTGTAAATATTACACTGTCGCGCGCTTCCAAGGGACGTCACCTTTTTTTTTTTTTTTATTATTATTACGCCCATTCTTAAAATTTTTTTTTTTTTTTAATTTTCTTTTTTCTTTTTATTCTTTCTGTATAAAATTCAAGATGGCTCGTACTAAGCAAACAGCTCGTAAGTCTACTGGTGGTAAGGCACCTCGTAAGCAATTGGCCACCAAGGCTGCTCGTAAATCTGCTCCTTCCACTGGTGGTGTCAAGAAGCCTCATCGTTACAGACCCGGTACCGTTGCTCTTCGTGAAATTCGTCGTTACCAAAAGTCTACCGAACTCTTAATCCGTAAGCTTCCCTTCCAACGTCTCGTTCGTGAAATTGCTCAAGATTTCAAGACCGATTTACGTTTCCAATCTTCTGCCATTGGTGCCCTTCAAGAAGCTTCTGAAGCCTACTTGGTCTCTCTCTTTGAAGGTACAACAACAACAAAAAAAAAACTTTTTATTGTCTCCTTTTTTTTATATATATATATACATTCGTACTCACTCTCCCCCCCTTCTTTATAATTAGATACTAACTTGGCCGCTATTCATGCTAAGCGTGTCACCATTCAACCCAAGGATATCCAATTGGCTCGTCGTCTTCGTGGTGAACGTTCTTAAACTAAGAAAAAAAACCCTCTGCTTCTCACCTAAATCTTTTTTATTTTTTTATATAAAAAAAAAAGAATTCATCAGACAATAAAGCGTATTGATTATAATAATAAAAAAAGTCATTTTGTTCTGTTTGCAGTGCATAAAAATTGTGTATACTTTTTTTTAACTGTTTAAATATACAAAAAAATACGCGTTTTTTTTTTTTTATGGGATATATGCCTTGAAAAAAAAGGTCACAGAGGAGATATAAATAATAACAAGTGTATTCTCCCCCTTTATTTCCCTTTCCCCTTCATCTCTTTTTTTATAATTAAAAAAAAAAAATGCCTTTGGACTATAGCAAATGGGATAACCTCGAGTTATCCGACGACTCGGACATTGAAGTCCACCCTAATGTCGATAAACGTTCCATGATTAAATGGAAGCAAGAATCCATCCATCGTGAACGCGCTGAACGTAAAGCCAAAATTGATTATTTATCCACCTTCATCCCACAGCAACAAAACGTCTTGAATAAAGTACAACAATTGGCTTCCATGCTCTCTACAGGAACTGATATGGAAGGGATTGGACGTGTTGTACAAGCTCTGGATAAGCAACAAGTAGAAGCCGATCCAAGTATGATGGTGCCTTCCCCCAACGGACAAGACCCCATGAACGTCACTCAAGTCTTTGCTGCCATGAAGGCTCAGATTGCTACAGGTTTAGCTTCTTCCTCACCCGCTCAAGTGAAATCCACCCTCCTGAGTCGCTTTCAACAAACACAAGAGACTGTCCAAAAGACCTTGGTGGGTGCAGAGGCAGAGCTCCAGAAACTCAACCAAGAGGCCGCCAAGAAAATGACGAGTGAAAACATGTTTACCGAGACCGCTAACAAGACGGTACAAAAAAAAAAAGTTTTTTGTTGTGTGTGTAGCGTTGGTATAAGGTAACTAACCCATCCCCCACTTTTTCACCCAATTTTCGCTATAGATTTTAAATAAGCCTAAACCTGTGACTAAAAAGAAGACACAAAAGGTCGTAGAGACCTTGAACCCTCATGCACAATTACCCAAAGTAACAACCGGAGGGCAGAAAGAAGCAACAGATGCTGATGATGAAGAAGAGGATGAGGAGGAGGAGGATATTGACATGTCACCTGAAGCCACGGCCTTTTCCAAATTGCGAGGCTTTGAGGATAGTTACAAGTACTTGAAAAACCATATGGACATCATTAATGAAAAGACCTCCGATTCAATTTTGGGTAACGCTTTTACAGCTCAGTTAAAAGGAGAAGAAGCCTATGCTAAAAATTGTGTGATTCAATCCTTGATGATCCAGTATGCCGGCCAACTTGGTAAAGATGGTTTGGATGTATTTTTCTCTCGGTTCGTTGCAAAGACTCTTTTTCTTTTTTTTTTGTAAAAATAATACTTATCCCCCCCCCCTTTTTTTTTAAAACGTGTAGAATGAGTGCACCCAATACACAGGGTCGTAAAATGTTTTTTGACGATGTAGAAAAGACATACGGTCGTATTCAATCAAGATGTATTGAAATTGCTGCTGAAGAAGGAACGGATCATCCTCAAGTAGAAACCATTCAGCTTCAACCTGTGGGTGATGGATCACAGTTAATCATTCGTGTACCAGAACCTGAGGACAAAGAGGCCTATCAGGTGTATACCGCTATGCCCGTTGATTTTCAAAAGGCACTTAAAACAGGTCAATTAGATGAAATGAACAAAGTGTTGGAGAAATTGGCTGTACCTGTTGCAGAAGAGTTGGTGAAGCAGTGCTCGGATTATGGATTTTTGGATGTAGAAGGAGAGGTCATTGATGCCACTCAACAAGTGTAATAAATGAACGGAGTTTACACAGGAGAAGCAAAAAAAAAAAAAAAAAAAAGAGTGTCATTATTATTTTCATTTTTTTTTTTTTTTAACCCATAGGGTGAAACCTATTACCCGCATTTCTCTCTCAGTTTTGATCCTGATACTATCACGAAATATGTAAAAGATACGCATAATTAAACTCCTTTAGAAAAAAAAAAGTTTAAAAAATAGGGGGAAGAGATATAAAAGATATGAAAAGAAAGGCTTCATATGTCTATGGGAAGCATTCCATTGAATTCATTAAGATTAAAAAAAAAGAATGGATGATATTCTCTCTCTCTCTTTTTGTTTTCTTTCCTTCTTTCTAATGGCTTATCCTATTCGATCCTACTCATTAAAATCACCATGGCAGGGTCAACCGGTTGCTAAGAGCAAGAAAAAGCAAAGAAGACGTACATGGCATCCTACACGACCTTGTTCGATCTACCCTATTTCACCACGTGTATCCAAATGGCGTGCGGCTAACTCTTTTCTCGTGCATCCGAAACGACTGACGGTAGCCACCATCTCCACACTTACCTCTTCCAACTCACCTCTACCCATCGATTCCTTTCAAAGGATGACACCCGTGGTAAATGTCTTTCACTTGCAGTCTACCTTGTTTTTATTTGGTTTCTTGTGTTTCCCTTGTTGGTGGGTTGGCGGATATTGTTTACCTGCAACGCATACGATGGAATTGAATGGACAGGTCATGATGGCTGTTCATCCTTCCCTCTTGGCGAACGGAAGAATGTGTTCAAAGACCCTATGGACTTGTACGGATTATGATCCCGAGAAGGATACTATCTTGATGTTTTATCGTTGGAATCGATTCATGGCTCTTGTCTCTGTTGCCTTGGTCCTCTTTATCCTATCACTCTTTATCTGGTATTATGTGGCATACTAAAAGAGAGAATGAAACAAAAAGAAAATAAAAAAAGAAAAGAGGGGGAACCCTATTTATTATTATTTTTTTTTAAAAAAAAAAATCAGAGTGTCATGGTGTATTTAATGACAATTTTCTTTAAAGCATAAGGTAAAGTCTTCCAGGAAAAGACCTTGAGATCTTTTTCAATGTTACGTGGTTTAGGTTTTGGAAATCCCATAATCTTTTGAAAGAAACGAGCACTCTCCACTGCACCTTTACTTACAGTGTAAGGACGAAATCCTTCTAAATTACGTCGAACACGATTTCTTTCTTCCATACTAAACTTGATTTTTAAAAGAAATTCAATCAATTGAATACAATCCACTGAAGTGATAAAATAGTCCTTTTTTTCCTCCCAATAGATACACGAGACCATCATCATGGTGGGCACACTTTCCATCGTTGTTGTTGTTGTCGTCGCCATCGGATGAAATCTACAACGGATCATCGCTTGAGCTTCCTCTTCTTCTCGAAAGAATTGAACGAGACGTCGTCCTTCTTGTATCTCCCTCTGTGTCCAATCATGTGTCATGGTCATTATATCACCTACCATAATCAGATTTGAACGAAAGTGTAGGCTAGGGTAAGGGTTGTAATCTGTAATTGAAACAGCAGGTGTATAAGGCCCTTTTCCACGTGTACGACCAGGTTCCTCCATACGAGGAGCAACCACAGTGGACTTGTTCTGATCATTTACTATTTTTTTCATATTGCATCAGATAAATATAAGGGCACCCTTCTGACGGACTTACCACTCAATGACTTTGGATACAGAGCTTTCAATACATCACTGCCATCTACTTTATTTTATTTTTTTTTTTAAAAAAAAAAAAAAAAGATTAATCACAAGAGAGGTTAGAAAAGAGCTCTGGTTTATAAAAAAAAAAAAGAAAATGTATTAATGTACGTTGATGATGCATACCACTCCCTACTGTATCATAGATGAAATTAGCTACAAAGAGACTGGATGTCACATAATTATTCTTGATGAAACATAGGCTGACGGGTACAGAAAAGGTTTGAGCATTTGTGCGTGAAAAGGGTGGTACGGAGGCCATCAAGACGGTATGATCTTTATCCCTCATGATAGGGTTTGTATCTACCAGTAAAGTGTTAAAGGCAAGCTTAACGATGCAAGAAGGAAACGCTTGTACGACCACAGTAACAGTGGTTTCTTCTGAACCGTGATCGGGTGTCAGTTTCATTTCTGTGGTAGTAGGAGATACAATGACTATGATTTTAAAATTTTTTTTGAGTAGTGGTGCTTTTCTCTCTTTATAAATCAAGTGTTGCTTACTTTGACAGTTGTTGTCTTTATTCATGATTAAGATGTCACTGAGAAAGAAACATAGTATCAATTCTTCTTTTTTTTTTTTTCTTGTTAAATGGTCATTGGACGGTGACTTTTTTTTTTTTTTTTTTAATAATAATAATGAAAATTCTCTATATCATGTATATAAGGGGATTGATAAAATGTTTATTGTAGTCGTCCTATCTCTCTCACTCTCTTTTTTTTTTTGTTATATATAAATTAGATTTATGTATGAGCGTACATTTGGGTCCATTGACGAGCTACAGAAAAAAAAAAAAGAGAGTTAATTATGAGCCCCTCTACATTAAAAATAATAAGTCATTACCTTGTTCAATAGCACCCTTTTCATCCTCCTTCCAATGAGAAGCAACATCGTTAGCCAAAGGATCATCGGGGTTAGGAGCTGATAATAATGCTTGTATAGAAAGCAACACGGTACGAATTTGGAGAGCGGGTGACCATTTATCTAATATTATACATGAGTTTTTTTTATTATCATTTTTTTCAAAAAAAAACCTCTGCATGGATACGGGGGTGAAAACAAACCTTTAAGAATATCAAGACAGATACGACCCAACTTATCGATATTGGGATGGTAAATCTTTGTCAAGAAACGTACTTTAGGAGGTCCCATGGGGTAATCCTCGGGTAAGAATAATTCTAAATGAAAGACACCACCTTTTTTTTGGGGGGGACACGTTTAATCTACTTTTTTTCCTATTGTATATAAAATAGTTCTCTCTTTTTTTTACCTTCAAATGGAGATTGATCAGGTCCAGCAATAATTACATCAAAGTAACGCAAGTTTTCCTCATGAGGTGTAGCACTGATTCCAGGTGCAGGATCTGCTAACAAACGCTCGGTTTCCTACCAGACAACAACAACAACAACAACAAAAAAAAGGTTAAACAGGGAAAAAAAGAAAAAGCCCATCTTTATTTATAACTGTACCTTGATGATTCTTTTGGGAAGAGACATGATTTTAAAAATGTAAAGAAAGAGAAAAATAAAATAAAAAAAAATAAAAAATGAAAATTTACGAGCAGTTACGTATTTGGGACCCCTCCCCCCCTCACACACACACTCACAATGGACATAGATTAGAGAGAGAGAGAGAGAGAGAGGAACACACACACGCACACTGGCGTGTGACTATTTTTAAAGCGGCATTGTTTACAATTTTATTATTTTTTTTTTTTTCATAAAAAAAAGACTACATGGAAACACAACCACCCTTTTCTTCAGGTGGAGGATTATTAGCCTTTTCAATGGTAGCGATTAATGAATCAAATATTTTGGCTAAATGAAATAATAAGAGAGTGAGATCAAATAGTGGTCATGATCAATAGTATATAAAACACTTACAGACGTTTTCGTCGTGCTTTGCAGAGGTTTCAACAAAGGGACAATTCCAACTCTGAGCTAAATCTAACCCTTCTTGTGTTGTCACTTGTCGTTGAATATTTAAATCAGATTTGTTACCAACAATGACACAAGGAACAGTCTCTAATCCAGTAAAATCTAAAATTTTATCTCTAATAATCTTGATCATATCAAAACTAGATTTGGATGAAATAGAGTACACTAATACGTATCCGTTCATACTGGAAGCGTGGTGTGATGATAATATAGAGTACTCGTCCTAAATTCTATTTGTTTAATTCTTTTCACTTCTTCTTCTTCTCTTTCCTTCTTACCTGACCAGCTGTATCCATGATTTCAACCTTGTATTCTAAATATTCAGTCCTATTTTAGCAAACAAGATTTCCCCCACCTTCCCTCTTCTTTACGACAATTCACTGCCAATATTTTAAAATATATATAAAATACCTAATCCTCTGTATTTAATAGTCTTGGTAAACGTATTTTCAATGGTAGGATAATAACTGTCGACAAAATGGTTCTCACAAAACTGAATAACAAGTGACGACTTGCCTACATGATGAAACAATCTTTTTTTTAGCACATTATTAACATTTAACATTTCTTTCTTTCTGTATTTTTACCAACAGCTCTGGTTCCCAGTACAGCAATGCGTCTTGCTTTAGCTTGATTAGACATGATGTTAAAAGAGAGAGAGAGAGAGTAAGCGAGTGTGTGTGTGTGTGTGTGTGTGTGTGAGAGAGAGAGAAAAAAAATGTTTTTTTTTTTTCTTCTTTTTGTTTTGTTTGGATCTCCGTCTTCAAAAGTGCGTGTGTGAAATGACTCTTTCCCCACCCCCTTTGGAAAGAAGACAAATGGATAATTCTTGTTTTTTTTTCTTTCTCTTTTTATGATATCAAGTCATGTTTGTGCCTTATTTGAGATGAATCATGCTTTGGCATAATGTGATAATTTGCCATACACTGTCATCCCCACCTTTTGATAGATCAATGACGTATTCATCCTTCTTTTATCAAAAAAGCTTGATACAAACCCCGTCAAATCAGAATAATATGACATCTGCTCTTAAGTAACGAAAAGGCTAATACCCCCCCTTTTTTTTTCGTGTCATTTGTACACTGACCAAAAAAACATGGGCATTTTTAAAACCCCCCAAACAAGAGAACATGATGGAAAACCATGATAAACTGCTTCTTTTTTTTTTGTTGTTGACAGGGACATTGTGGGTCACTGCCGCAAGGTCCATCATAGGGCGGAGTCAGTATCGGATAAGGATAAAGCTTTCCATTGTATATCTAACAGATATGGGGATTCTGTCTCTCACATAGAATTTAGAGCATGAAAAAAGACATTGGTGATTTGCCTTGCATAAGACGCTCACGTAGGTGCTCAAGAAAAGAAAAAGATGTCATTGTTTAATAGTTTTTTTTTTTTTTTTTTTTTTTTGGCAGTAGATTAATTTTTGTACAATCAGAGTAAAATAAAAGGTCTAGGCCTTGAATTTATATATCATTAGTAAAATAAACAATCCACTAAAAAGAGCACTCAGATTATTATGTTGCAACTAACCACAGTTTACTTGGCTTCCCCCATGTGTTGCACAAAATGAACGGACTTGCATAAAAAAAAACCCGGATGTGTGGGTCTTTTTCTTCTCTCGTCCATGTCAATATACTGTTTAGTCAAGTTATGCACGTATTATTTAGGATTATATTTCTTTCCCCCCCCCCCTTTTTTACGCGAGTTTACATCTTTTTCAGTGACTGTGTGCTGCTTAACCTTTTTTTTTTTTTTTTTTTTTTTTTATGCGAAATCATGGAACGGACTTTTTAGCTTGAGTAAAGCGCCGTTTAAATAATATATAGAATACAGCATTATTATCACTTGTTTTTAATTTACGTTTATAAACTTAACCAAGCAAAGTTCCAACGTCTCCAATGATTGCCAAATTATGCTCTGCCCTCGTCGTGATCATCCAAAAAAAAGGATTGAGTTTGACATGGGATGTACAGTAAAATTGCATGGTTACCATGGAATCGACGCTTTTAGGGCAAAAAAAAAAAAAAAAAAAAAAAAAAAAAACTAACTGCTTTAATTTGGTGTCTAAATGTCTACATTCAACTCTGGAAAACATGGCCAAGATTACGGTGCTTACTGTCAGAGCCCTTTTTGTATCAAATCTTGTGCGAATTTACCCATGCAACGAAAATTGAAGCGGATTGACTGGATTTTCTTCTACGCGATCATGTTTCCGATGTGATAGATCGTTTAAAGTTTTTTTTTTCCTGACACATCTAATTTGGACTATTCCGGCTTTGATATAATGCATTATCTTGCAAAACGCCAACAAGAAGCTGAATGACATTCAATCCGACAAGTGGTTAAATAGCCATAATAATGCCCGAAAGACAACGCCAAGACAGGGGGCCCACGGTATGAGATATAGCGTTTTAAGGAGTTTGAGATACCTTGATCTTGTTAAAAGCTACCACCCAGGATCATATACATTGCATTTGGCAGGGTCTTGCAAAAATCAATTTTGTCAAAGTATGAAGAGTTTGGATTTTTTTTTAAACTACAACACTACCAGAGGTATTATAAATTTATGACACTATACTGCAAATGCCATTATTAACTTTGTGTAAAAATGTTCCAGTATGGACACACCCGCTTTAAGTATCGTCACGCCCAACGGTTGCAGCTCTATACATGCCAAAATAACAGGAGCTTTTTTTCTTATATGAAGGGTATCGTATTCGAAATCTGGACCTTGTACTATTCGGAATATGTCTTTAAAGTAAATGATTGTTTTTTGATAGGGCTAGTTGATGGATTTCACAAAAAAGCATTATGCAAACTGGTTACAACTTGTGGCAAGCTTGTACATTCAACACTTTCTTGTTTCTCCCTCGAAAGAATGACTGGTGTTCTGAAACAGTTGACAGAGAATAGAAAACCTTCGATCAATTCAAACTTCGTACATGACAAATATTTTGGAAAGTAGTCATATCTCGTCTCTCATTAAACAATTAACAAGCATCAATATCATTTCTAAAGATCAAGCCCACATTCTCCACAACACCAGCGCTATCAACCAATCCTTATACACAAACTCCAGTCCTCAAGATTGCATTAATTTTTTTACGAATTGTCTTCCTATGAATATACCAATTCGGGAGGTGTGGTGACCGGATCGGAAATGCGATACTCTCATCCGACTAGCTTTGTTGAAATTAAATCCACTCCGCTCGATCCATCACACCATATGCTTTTTATTGAATATTACACTGTATGCTATCCAAATCGTTCATTCACCAATCTCTTACATTTAACCAACACAAATCTATGCAACAATTATGGTAATTCACTTATCAATAACATTCCTTCAATTAATGTTGGTGCCGACACCAGGATATTCAAACCATTTCAATCTGATATTATGTACAAAAGCCGTATGGCAAGATCGATGAAAGGTGCGTATATTCAAACATTCTTTTAAAAAACAATCATTCGTCGGAATCCGTTGCCTGCTTTTACGGCGAGATACAATATTTCTTTCAACACATCATAATTGTTAACGGCGGTGTCACCCCCCCCCACACACACACACATTTGCTTTCGTACGATGAGTTTATACCTGTCAACCCTGGTAACAATATTTTTATAAAACGAAACTAAGAAAATATGCAAAGGCTATGAAAATACAACTGTCGATTTTACCTGTACATAGAATACACAACGCAATCACAATTGCATGTAGTTCTGACAATTCTAGTAATCCACGAATTCAAAACGGCTGGATTGTAATAAATCCTCAAGAAAAAAAAAATATGTTTAAGCTAGTTTACTTATGCCATTTTTTTAATTTTAATAAACCACTATGAATATGTAAAAAAAAAAAATGTTGTTGGAAAAGGGGGGGGAACAGATTAAAAAAAGAAGAAGAAAAAAAATTGTTTATTTACAATTCAGGAACTCGTGCCCAGTCGGGTGCCTGAGATAGAAATTCGGGCTTAATCACCACATGCTTGAAACGTCCCGCATCCTTCGTCTCCTTTTCTTTTTGGGCGTTTTTTCTCAAAATGAGATCATACTCATCGAAATGCTTAAATGCGCGACGAGCCTAAAGACGAATTGATTTAGTATGCATTCTATTAACAGGAATACACTCATATATTGTATACTTCATTTGTGCGCCAATGCGGCACCATAACCCGCAAGCGTGAGTTTTTTTCGGTCATCCCTATTTCCGAATCCGTGCTTTCCTCATCACTTTGGAGTTGCTCTATCAAGAGCTTCTCTATGTCATCACCATAAGTATCTCTCATTTTTTTGCCATACTCCTCGTTGACCATCACGTTTTTTCTGTGCTTGCATTTCTACAATTTATATTATATATTAACCTTGGAAACGCATTTCCTATTCGTAACTTACAGAAATTCTTCTTCCCTTTCTTGTACTTTTCTTATTTTTTAAAAGCTTTGCTGCGGGAGATTGCTTTTCGTTATCCTGCTTACGGCGAAAGACATTTCTGATCTTGTTTTGAAGATCGTTGTAGGTAATGGATTCCGTCCAGTTCCTTTTGGTTGACAATGTGATTTGAGCACCAACAAAATCGATAATATTTTTAGTTATACGGGTGTTCTCTACCGTCGTAAATGGCTTGGATAGGTTCCACTCCAGATTACCAACCTTTTGGTTAGCAATGGACGTTTTAATCCAAGCCTATAATTAAAAAGTTAGATTAGATATATGAACGGTTCTCACTATTCTTGGTGACATACCGACAAACTATTGTATAGTGCACCCCCTATTTGGAAAGGAGGTACACTTTCATTAGTCAATGCGGCGGGGCTAGCTGAGTAAACAGCAGCTTCACCGGAAAGAATAGACAATATTTTGTCAATTTTATCTTCCACCATGTCAAGTCGTGCCCTCAAAATTTCTCCGGTAACCGACGAGATGGAGCTACTACGACTTCTAGTTGCTCTGTTAGGCAAAGGAGAATATCTTGATGAGGGGTTGGTAGGTCTATTCATATTTAGAATTAAGTAATTTCCGGATGAAAAAGGTGAAATAATCATATATACACAGATGAGTTCTCATTCAATATAATGTTTTTTTTTTTTGTTATATTCCAATTGGGACCGAAACTGTGGTACCTGACTAGTATAAATGGACATTCAATTTTTAGAGTTTAACGTGCTTTTTATTTACAAACATACTATCAACCAGTTGAAAACTTTAAATTCTGCACCAAAAAGTAAATTCCCGCTTCAGAATTTTTTTTTTTTAAAAAAAAAAAATAAAACTTTGCGATTGGGCGAAAAAACAAAATACGTGATTGAAGGCCAGATGTTATGAAATAAACAACTGAATGAAGGTTTTGTGCACCTTGAAAACTACTTTAGCGTCTTTTATGGGGGGTCAGGATAGCGATTCGTGCAGCTAAGCATTTTTATTGGATAACAAAATGGAAGAGACTTTTTTTTTTTTTTTTTGAAAAAATGACATGTAAAAAAAAAAAACAAAATGATTAGTTTCTTTCATTTTCTAAAAATTTTGAAATAACGATTGGTGTTATGGAGCCACCAGAAAGTACCGAACTTGCACCTGTTGATAAGAGAATACTTGACAGTATCAATCTCAGTTTCCTGAGACATGTCAAGTAATTCCACCACAGTCAGTTTATACTTCAGCAAGTCCAAGATTTCTCCAGTTTTCTTAGTGAGGAGATTATCACTTTCGTCAGCTTGATAGACAGAAATGAGGCTACTGTCATCGTGAATCACGAAAGCTGGCATGGAAACAAGTTCATACACCTCAACAATAGCCTGATCGCCGCGAAGTTTTTACCAACTTTTCCCAAGCAGACGACGCACCCCAAGAGAATCCAAGTCAACATCGAGAATAGCCGTCATGTTCAAAGCAATCTTCTTTCCAGCAATATATTCAGTACTGCCGAATTCCCGATTAGCAGAATACTACATGTCCTCACTGTACCTATCGAATGAGTCTTTAAACGATTACACTGTGGTATTTGACAAAAATATTACAATGAAAAAGTAATGAGAAAAAAGTATATTTTTATTAGAGGTAAAAATAGACTAAAAGAACTCTGCTGCGATGAAATAATTGATCCTTTTTATATTGAACAACTTCCCCTGGTAGTTGTGTTGAGTCAACCATTCTAGTCTTGTAATAAATCTATACTCAGTTTCCCGCCTTACATTAAATGAATTCTACTCGTTAGAATTGATTTCAAATAACGTCACCCAGAATCAACCGATCTGGGACACTCTTATTGTTCTGTTTAAAATACGGAACTCCAGTAAGATATTGTGTAACGGTGGCTAGTTAAAAGATGCATAAGGTTTTTGTGTTTAATTGGCTGTGGTAGAACATGTAGTTATGTCTGATCATTTATCCATTCTGTTGATTATTTTTATCTAAGACATGGGTAAATATGTGATCCTAAATATAGAACATCTTATCGATGTTTGTATATTTAGTTGTAGAAAATAGGCATCCAAATATTCCATGCACTACTTCTCTTATACACTTACAGTCGTATAAGTTGTGTTTATCAATATATAAGTAAATGAACCATTTATAGAAATAGCTGTTCTATTCTCTCTATGGGTAGCTAATCCATTGAGAGAACTATTAATATTAAGTTTCTCTTTCTTATATTTCTTGATTTGATCGGAGAAGCTTCTCTTCCCGATCGGTGATATCGTAATTCAGTGGTATAGAATTCTATATCTAACTGTCATTCGTATATCGATTTTAAGCCAATCATGCAATCTTTTTATATAGAAATATGTACTCATAGTAGGAGTCGTTGTGTAGCAGTATACAGGTGTATGCTGTTACTCAATATTAAAGGATGTTTTTATTCCATGTTTTTATTATTTATTCGATTTATTTGCTTATTCTCAAATAAATCATACCCAAATACGACATACACAATGGACCACCAGTTTTTGGCGTATGGAATCGTAGCACCATTAGATTGTTCACCAGAAAGACCATAGATCTCTTCAGAAGTAGTTTGACTGGGCACTGATGCAGTTGTCGTTGCTGTTGCTGGCTCTCCACGAGTACCCTGTCTGTTACGAACACGTATCGAGAAATCAGTACTATCCGAGTCATCGCTTGGAAATAAACTCATCCAGTGACCTTTTTTCTTTTGGAACTGACATGTGTTCTTCGGCCGTGGTAGTTCTATTAGGATCAAAAGCATCAGCATGTCGACACCAGAAGCATTTTCTACACGGATAAGTAGCTGTTGAAGCTTTCAAACAAGAAACCTCGGCATGACGAGGATTGTCAGCCTTGATAAACAAAAAGAGGAGCAACAACAAAGACTTCTTCCTTGAGAATAGCATCAAACATCGGCAGACCAGTTTCCAGCTTCTTCAAATCGGGGACAGGGGAAGACAACTGTTCCATAGCAGTATGACGATTTGATTCACATATAAAAAATTGATTCAAATAATGATTGGCAACACTAAGAGAAACAGCGGCCGGGATTCATCGACCACGAATCGAAACAATTCCATTTTGATGTAGAATTAGCATTGGTATCATCAGAGAAAAGGTTGTACGGAATTACTCTAACGACCTGGTAGTTTGGCGAATTGGGATTTATGCTTCTTATACGTGATCTAATGGGCAGTGGACGTTTGTACTTATTACCAGTATCAATCATGTCATGATGAGCGCGAATCAATCGAGTATTAGCAACAACATCTCTAGAACAAAGATAATCGTCACCATTTATTTGTTGTAAGCTGGTAAATGCATCGAAGGATTCATGTTCGGCACGAAAGACATTATTGATGTCAAGGTCGGTTATGGGACAGTGGAGAAGGATGTGGTATAAACAGCATATTTCAAGATTATTATCGGATTTAATTGGATACAAATCAACGTTCACAACTTTTGATATTTAAAATATCTTGGCCAATTTGAAATAATGGCGATCACGAAGAGGAATATTGCTCTCAGACAGCAAAGAGACTTTATCCGATGTTGTGTTTTAAGGTAAAGTAAAATTATAAAAAGACTATATGAGTAGTTTGAGACTGTTTATAAGATTGTCCTTTATTAATAAATGAAATATACGAATATTTATATAAAAGACTGTCTGCTGTGTTCATATCTCTAGTGCTATCTTGAAGTTATCATTGATTAACCAAAAATGTATACGATTATTACATAGTCACTAATTTAGTCTTGTTCTAATAAATGTTAAGTCTTCTTAACTCTCTTTGCTTTAAACTAAATTTTAAGTATTTCTCAGACGTACTAAATTAGACTTGTGATGTAATATCCTTATAGTCCTTACTATGACATTTATTGTTAAGCTTATATCACAAATAGTATCAGCATGGATAAATCTTTGTTAGCTCTAATATGGCTATAGCCTTGCTAGGTCACCACGTCCGATACCCAGAGTTGAAGATTTGGACCAGTAATTATCATGGGATGCTCAAACAATCTATCACAATTCCACTTTTCACCTTGACTTAGCTTGATTCGTTGGTTAGGTGTTCGATCAGGAAGATCTGACAGGAAACCAGACATACAGGGATTACCTACGAGAAGTCGCAAGTGTTCAGATACATCATTGAGAAACAAGTCAGGCTTTAATGCGACAACAACAGGAACATCGGGTGCAGAAGCAGTTGTATTCGTTGCAGCAGGATTAGTGGCAGAAGCAGAGGTAGTGGCAGGAGCAGAGGTAGAGGCAGGAGCAGGAGCAGAGGCAGGAGCAGAGGCAGGAGCAGGAGCAGAGGCTGTGATAATTTGAGTATAAAAGGGTAGAAAATAAAAGATAAAAATAAACAAGTAAAGAAATGAGACTCTTTAATCCTTTATTATAAGTTGGAGAGTTTGTCATGATAAAAATAGAGGTCCTTTTATATTAAATTATTACTTCAATTAATTTCTGCGTAGATCGAATAAACATTTCCAGAGACTGGGAATTGTTGGATTTGAAATATAAATCAGTAATGACATGAAACATAGCTTATAATTTATAGTTATGTAAGCCTATGGTTGTATGTCCGGAATTTCCAGCAGAGAAATCATTTATCCATTTAGCAATATGTGCGATGATTGGATTACTTGATTACTCATCGTAGGTGCTAGAAGGAACCGCAGTAAATCAGCTAACCGGGGTCCAATGTAGGGTATGATTTCCAGTTAGAAGATTATGAGAACTGGTACTGTGTCTGTTATAATATATGAAGTATATTATAACTCAAGACAGATTAAATAGTAATTGTATTCGATTTATTTAGGCGTCAAATACGACAGAGGCGTCAGCTGCTGTAGCAATACCAGATGCGCTAGTTGATGTGACAGGTTCAGTAGGTTCGACAAGAAGTCCGCCGTTATCATCTTTCGCACAATGGAAAAAAAGGTATACAACTTTTCTTGGATTTGTGAAATCTGGAAACGCGGTGGGGAGTGGGATAACCACGGAAATCATAAATAACATCAGAAGGATCCAAAGCTAGTTGAGCTCTGTACTCTTTGATTGCAATTTCAGCCATATATTTACCAAAATCAAGAACTGATTTGATTTCGACTTCTGAATACTTAAAGCTACCAGACTTGAAGAAAAGAAGGGCATGTATTATGTATTCATTTTCGAAAGGATGTGCTGGATTGTCGTTGACATCACCACTCAAATCAAGATATTCATCATTACCATCATTACCATCATCACCATCATTACCATTAGAGCCGTTGTTGACGTCGTTAACAGGAACGGGAGGTTCATTAGATTCGCTATCATCATCAGATTCCCCTCCGTTGTTAAAATCATTGTTAAAATGGTCAAAGGCATTACCACCATCGAATTCTTCTTCACCATTATGACGCCCATCATCATCACCGTCACCATCATAATCATCATATTGATTTTCATCAAATTCATTTGCAGGTTCAGACAATGGTTCGGCAGTGCGTTCAGGTTGGATTGGTCTAATGTATATTGGTAAGTAATATGAATATATTTAACAGTCTTAAATAACTTTACCTTTCAATGGACTCCATATCAGAACTACGAGATTCGCTTAGCGGGATAGTAGGTCGTTCGTCAGAGGTATTCCTAAAAATAATAATGATAAGTACAAACTGACTATTTTTATATTAATGAAGACGCTCACTTACTGTTGTTGGATGTCATTGGCAGGTAGTGATCCTTGATTGGACTGAATCGCCTCCAGAAGTTCTAAGTGGTGTCCTGATCTTTGATGCACTTTAAAAGAATGTCGATTAATTGTACTGTATTTGGACAACACACGTTTGCTTCTGAGGCGGTTAAGCAGGTTTTGCACGGAACTTATTTGTTCCAGGTGTTTTTTTCATAGTGTTTTAAAATTAAAGTAAGTTGTCTATAATAAAATAAAGAATTTTGATAAAGTGCACTCTGTGGATTGTGTTTGGTTTATATACCGTTCAGATAAAAATGTGTTTAATGCTTAGCTTATGCGGACATAAGCTGTCAATTTGATTGGTGCAATAGTTTACAAACGTCATTGCGGAAAGATATTTTGTCACGCAACCTAACTTTCTTAGGTCGCTTTTCTTTCTCTTACGTATTTTTTTTTAACCGTGGCGTGTCTTCACAAACGCGTGATTATTGCTTGTAATATTATGATGCTTATGAACAATGGTATTTCATAAAAAATCTGCATTAACAATACTATCATCAGGCATTCTACTAATTCTTCTCTCATAGTCAGTTTAATCAAAGTCAAACGCGAAAAAGGTAGCTATTTCATGACTTATGGAATAATATAATCTTCTATCCCCTTTTACTTTCAAGATGTGTATCTATAAAGGTATACTTTACTCGGTACTGTGCTTCCCTGTAATAATATATCACTAACAACGCCTTTTTATTTTTTAGAGGCTCTTTTCTCTTTGAAATACCGTAAGTAATATCTTGGTGATTATTTTACATCCTAAACTAATACATAACGCGTTTCATTTGGCAATAGAAATATCGCGTAAAGCTTCATACAAGGTACTATAATTTTAACATTAATCATTATCCGTTTTACTAAACACATTATTCACTTTATAAATTAGCTCGTGATACTGCTTAAGCACGGATAAAATGTAAGTACAACATCTACCACAGACACTTGAATATCACATTAATACCTTTTTCGTAGCTTCAGCTCAAACAGAATCAGTTTTGCGTGGGTTTTCTAGCTTGAATTCACTGTCTGCTATACGTGTCATACGTGGCCTGTCTGGGCTACGTGGTCTGCCCTGTATGTCAAGGCTGAATAGCCTGCCTGGTCGGCCTGCGTAGCCCCGAGGGGCAAACAGGCGCTTTTTGCCGGATTCTAATTTTGTGGGCCAATTTTTTATATAAATAAATTTCGTTTTTTAAGGCAATTTTTAAAAAAAAAAACTGTTTTCATATTTTATATTTGTATTTTATTGCTTTGTTTGTACAGCAAGGAAACGTAAACATAACAACAAAACCAAAATGGAAATACTTTTGAAAACTATTTTTAATTTTTTTTTGGGAAAAAAATGGTCTTGAAATTTTAAAGTTTACACCTGGTTGAGTAATAATATATTAAGCTTTAAGTTTAAGATACATGAGATCATTCATGTTTAAGTTATCTGTTTAGCCACGATTTGCATCGTTTGTTTATTTGATGAGTTGCATAATGTACAAAGTTTGAAGTTCCACAAAAAAAAATAACGATTGTCATCGGAGAACGTGATGTTTGCATAACTTTAAATAGTTGCTTGCAGCTTACATCACAAAATGTGTTACTACAAGATTTAAAGTCAACCCATCCCCCCACTATATTCAAGTTAAGCAAACTCGATTTTCGATTCTTACACAGTATTGTTTCACCCGACAGAAATCTCTTTTTCGGATTAATGTCAATTATTTGGTAGGTATTGACCCAACCGATACCAAAACCGAGACATAATCGACTGCACGAAATTAATCTTTTAACTATGTGCATATACGTTAAGAGCGTTAGAAACACGTTGGGGTTATTAATAGAAGGTCCTCTTGAAGCTACTAACAGAGCCAGCATCGTTAATAGACACACATATTACATTGGGAAATAAGGTTACCATAAATTCATATTATTTTTTTTTACGTGAGTTTAAGAAGAAAGAAAGGAAGAAAATGTAAATAAATATTGGGTTTACGCCAGTTTTATTAGATTTTGTAACCTAAAATCCGAATTCTATTTAGTGTATCAGATAGACAACTTATCTCTGCTTTACAAAGGTACTACCCCAGAACATATTCCGGTTCCCACGAGCTTGTCAGCACAAGTAATGGTGTAGTCAATAGCCCCTTCGGACCTGGTTTGATGATATTGTGTATATCTCCTTTTTTCAAAGATCATATCAACGAGCCCAAAAGAGGCAGTAACTATGTTTTGTTTTTTGCATCCCACCTAAAGTAAGATTGTTTGTTTATCATCATTATTTAGTTGTACAGACAATTTGTTTTAAACTTTTATGGCCGCTACCACAATTTAATGAGTCAACTTTATGTCGGTTCCAACATCTTCTTTTCGAGACCATATTTGATTGTGTGAATGATTTTCTTGTCTTAATTGATGTGGTTGAATCACATGGAGTGGTAGATCACAACAGGCTCAAGCCAAAGGTAGTCTTACGTCGCCCTGGTAAACAAAAGTATGTTGTTTGTCGTTTCAAAGATATCGTTTGTACCGTAGGCCTTGTCCGATACCCCATGGCTGTAAAATAGTTACACAGTCATATAGCATCACTTTCAGGGACCTGCTATACTTGAAGATGAGGGAACGCGAGTAATCTTTAAGAAATTTAGAAATGAAAATAAAAATAAAAATAAACGTGGACAAAATGACGTGAATGAATCTCAAACGCTGAGCAAAAGCCTGGTTGAGAATAGAAAAATTGTGACACCAGAATCGATTAACAAATCTGCAATCAACACTTGTTGAATATTTTACCAAAGATGCTGGCCAGCAGCAATACGTTTTTATATATATAAAAAAAAGGTCAACAAAGTTGTTTACAACAAACAACAAATACGCCATAGTGCACGCTCTATTGACTTTTTCTTTTAAATGTCTTTCTACACATTCAGGAAAAGCCAATGCAGCCTTAGTTTTGAATTCCAGATTTTTGGATCCATGCATCAAGAGATTGACAAAATTGTCTCAACGTTTCGTCCCGATCTTAGCCCTCAGCTTCGATGGGATTGTACTAAGAATATAGCTAAAACAGTTCCTCGTAAAACTGGCCGTCATCATGCTAATTAGCGTAAAAAACATTTAGACGTGTTACAGTTAAAATGAACCTCGATCTTCAATAATTCGTCACTGACTACAGCTACCCTACAATTCGAACTTTCCAAAGTAGAATCAATAATTTAGGGGCTGCAAGAAGAAATGTCTACCAATGACTCTTCACGAGCACAAAAATTTTGGTAAATCTTCGCCTTATTTTATGAAACGCTCTATAACTACTCGCCTTACCAAAAGTTTCATTCCGGAATTACTACATCCAATTACATCAGCATCCTGTACAACTCCAGCAGCTCCGACCAATGCAGCTCACTCACTCCTTAGTAACACCCTTTTTGTCTCACCGGGACATTAAATAAATTTCGAAAGACTGCTGCGCTGCCTTTCCCTACAAAAAAAAAGTGTTCCTTTGGAATCCAAAAGCCAACATGGGATTTGATGGCGTCAAAACCCTTGGGGAACTGAGTTTTAATTAAAAGAAGGTAACAAAAGATTGTAAGCTCAACCAGTTTCACGTAAATTAGAAGGGGCTAATTGAGCTTGTTACCAATTTTATACCCCTCCACTTTTTTTATGTGTGTACGCAAAAGCGTTATGGGTATATAATGTTTTCAATTAGGATCCACTAATTGCTTTTTCAGCACATACACCTTTTTCATGACTATCTATATGAAGTTAGAGTACTCATTTATTCCTTTAAAATGAATTAATTATTGATATGGGACGGTACATCACACACCTGAAATACTAAAGATAAAAAAAAAGACAGAAACTCTGACGCAGGTACAGCCATTTTTAAATTTCTGAAAATATAACTGCGATAGAAAGGTTGAACAGAAAATTTGCCAAAACTTTTGTTCATGGACAGCCAAAGCACTCGTAATGATAGCTTAAGATCTGTTTTCATGGCAGTGTCTAAAAGCTGCGTAATAATCAGACATTTTTGAGTGGGCCAGTATACCGTATACAGCACTTTCTCGTATATTCTACCTGCCGGAACGTGTAAGACATTCAGTGTTGAGATAAGTCATTTATAACTATTTTCATCCTTATAAACCTCGTCGCCGAACGTTTGACCTTTGGGTTTTGTGATACTTTTTATTTCGTTCTCAATACGCTATTAACAAGTCAGACGCAAGTTTTTTTGTTGCCATTACTACCCAAAAGATTATTTTCCGTAATGCCTTGTTAAACGTTTATTCTCAATTTAGATTGAGTTCAGGAAGCGAGAATCCCTATTTTCGGGTGTTTTTATTTTTTGTAATAGGGGCAATTACATTTGCAAATGTTCTTTTGACCTTGACGATTACTGTCTCAATGTTGGTTTTGGAGTGAGGCTTTAAAGAGATTGGTAATGATCTCTTTGGAAGCATTTGTTTGTAATGATAGCTAAGGACTGGACACTTTCAAAAGTTTCAGGTCAATATTTATTTATTTTTCAGAACAAATAAGTTGTTTTATTTTTACATAGTTCAAAGCGCCTAAGGGACAGTTACTACAGCATGTGATTTCTTAGGCACAGCCACAAAGTATCGAATTCTAAGCTGTGACTATAACACAACATATAACCGGAGGTAGAAAGTAAAATAAACCCGGTGTCTACTTTGAGAAACATCATTTTTTTCTCAACAAAATAAGGATCACGACATCAATCAAAATGGCCTTAAAGGCAATTTTTTTCCCTGGAGTTTTCAAAACGACTTTGTGTGCTAATTATAGAATGTCTATAGAAAGCTTAAAAACGTGACTTATCATTATTAGATCATTGATAAAAGAGAATTCTGTAAAAGGAAATAAATCTACAAAACACGAAAATAATTACTGCATCGTAAATCCTTCAAATGCTTTGTCCTTTTTACCAAAGGGCTAACTGACCTCCTGTCAAAATAACTTGCATAAATAACAGCAAGAGCCATTATCTGGATTCAATTATTAAGTCTTTCAAGGTTTAAATTGAATGATCCCCTCTTGTCCCGCACATATTCAGTTAATGAAACAATTTAGAGAAAACAAATCAAACACATTCTTTCTTTTTTATTTATCAAATTATTGCGGTTGTTATTAATCTATATTACACCCTCCAACGCAATTTACATTCATGAAAATTACACGCTTTTATTGGACACTCCTTTTGCATCCTCTCCGGCCACTGTAGACGTACATCTTTTTTTTTTTCATTCGTACCCCCATTACTTATTCAACAAGTGATTTTCTTATCTCTTATTATCCTCGTATCATCAAGTCGAAATGTACCTTTATCTGTTGGTATAGCACACCCTTTACCTACTAAGTATTATTTTTGTGTGTATGTGTTGCAATCTTCTGTCTTTCGTGTTCTACATCCACTCTCGTATAAATCCGCTGCTTTTGGTTGCATTTGCGGAATGTTTGAACTATCCAACAATTTTTGACATAGACTTTTCTTCGTCACCTTTGGGGATTAGACCTATTGTACGGTGTACTGTTAATATATTTGTCGTAAAAGGGAGATCGACATTCAATTTATGATCCTCAATAATTTTCCGTCATCTTCTTCATGTCTAGGACAGACTATAACGTTGACCCATAATTCCAATTCGTCCCTTGGAATCCTTTACAAAAACGTGACAGTATCTAACATGAGACTTTGACTTCAATTTGTTGCAGTTATACGCTTTCTCGTCTCAAGAACAAGTAGCAAAAAACAAATCAAAGCAAAGGACAAATACCTAATAAACGGTGGAAAATGTTTTAAGCTATGAGAACCTAAAAACGAAGCAGAACAGAAAGAATCGGAACCCCCATGCAAGCATATTTACCTGTTTATCCTAGTTATCCTAGTTTTCAAAGGTGCCATGACATTGGACATCTTTCTACAATGTTTCCTGAAAGAATGTGGGAAAATAAAAGACGTGCTTTTCTTTTGTTGGCGCTTAAATAGAGAAGTCACAATTGACATCAGGCAATCTTCAAAAAATATTTTCCGCTTTTGCAAAAACTTGGTTCTACGCAGAAATAACGAACACAGAAGCACTTAGTGGCCTTAACACGATTGACTGTCAGTCGTAAAGGCGAAAACTGTTAACTTACACCGACGTTGGTTTAAATACGGTCTGGCGTGCTCTCTTGCGATGATGGTCATTCCTAGCTGTTTTTTGGGTGGTGTACAAAAATAGAAGGAAGCGCAGCGTTTAAATTTCAACCCATGTCACTCCTCATGCTGCGATCGATAAAGGCACTTCGTTTGACTTCATGACGTGAAACGGCTTCAGCTACACCTTATGTCGTATATTCCACCTCTTCCATCTTTGGAAAGACACTTTTGGAAACTGGAAACTGTTTCTAATCATTCAACAAGAAACTATACAACATGCTTAAATCCAACAAAAGGCAAACCAACACGAGAAATAAAATGCCCCAGCACCTTTTCCGTTTCTATGGATAACAACGTTGACCAATAATTATGTCTTAAATCGACATAATTTTTCCTTCTCATTTAATTATGAAACCATCCCACAACGCATGATGGGCAGTGATCAAAAAGCAGAGATGGTACACATCAACACTGGATAAACGTTACAGCATAGCTAAATAATCAAAGCGCAGAAAGATGAAAAGTAGTTCAAATCAAATTTAGGTGGATTTCCCGCATAACGTTTGGTTTCAGCACCATCACGATCAAGTAAAATGTTATATGTACACTTATAGAATATGATTTGAATTCTTTTGATCAAGACATATGCAAGTTTATTTATCTCTTTGAAGATTATTTGTGACTATATGTTTAGATTAAATGATGGATTAGGTATTATTTTGCCGTGATATAGGAACAATAAAAATGATTTGCCCTTAATTTTGTGAATGGGGGAAATGAAAACAATAAAGGGTTTTTGGTTGTCAAGTAGTGCATGAGAGTCGTTGAACACAGAAGAGCTACCAGAATGTTCCGCATCGGATAACAGCAAAAAGTTTCCGCTGTAAACCAATTTACCTACAACAAAAAAATAATAATTGACGATGTCGGAAGTGCATTTCATTTGACACATGTCTTCATCAGCGAATACAGAGCTTGTGTATTTAAAGACTTCTGGAAAGTGATTGTCTTTACTGTTTTGCATGGAGAACAAAATAAAAAATAAACTAAAAGTGATACTGTTAGAACTTGGATACCACTTTATTATGGACGAAAAATAGAATTAAAAAACGTATTCCAAATCTATCGATGGTCTATGAGAAAAAACTATGGATATTTATATAAAGAACTGGGATAGTTCTAGGGAGAGTAGTAAGCGCCTTATTGGATCATGATGTAATAATCTGGTGATAGTAAATAATCAACACGTTTTTAATTTTAGCCCTTCCATACTGAGTATATAAATATTAGTCAGAGGGATCAACAATTATAACATCAAATGACAAGAGTAATATTTGTGCTCAGGATCTATTAATATTCTATAGTCCAGGCCCATTCGATTGTAATGCTTTTGCAGAATAAATATTTACTCGCCACAGGGATGTGCCCTATGTACAGACTCCAACGGTAGGATGAGAACAAGTGGGGTAATGCGTGATTCATGATTAACTTTTATATTTATTATCCATCCATAATGTGATGTGACAATTAACTTTATTATTATATCTATGATATCCTCAACAGTTACGTATACTACATTTACATCGTCTACCCTGCTCTTCGAAAAGTAAGCTTCTTCGTATTTTTTAGGGTATTATCAGTCTTATTTTCAAGAGATAAACCAGCGTCTTTAAAGTCTTCACACCCTTTACGTTTTTGACCATTGCATAAGCTACATCAAATGAAATCAAGTCGGGTCTTCTTGTTTTTTATAACCTCAACAACAGATAACCAGATCTTGTCTATATTCGAGTGCGCCTGTCTATAATTTATGTCTCCACTAGGCGTAACCCTGATAGATGGCTTTTCAGTGTTCCCAGAATGAGGACTAGATGGGTTCTTGCTCCAGCATACAATAAACGGGGTGTAGTCATTTTTTAGACCCATGAGTATTGTTGTTGTTCCACTCTCCGTAAAGTTTGAGACAAATTGTGAACCACAAATCATATTCAGTTATTTAGCAATCGGCTACATCTTACGTCTTAATATAATTCGGCATTTCTTAAGGAATGTATTCTTCTGTTAAAACAATGTTTTGACCTGACATTGTCTGTTGTTAGTGTACTGGGTTCAGGCAAAGAAAGAAAAAAAAACCGAAAGTGGGCAAAAAAAAAAAAAACCCCCCCCCCCGATAGTGCACTTAGCACATCACTGTCATTTTAGTCAACCGAGAAACGGATAGTGCTCTTAGTCAGTGAAAACAGCGGAGTAAGTAGCCGACCGATTCAGGCGTTGTCTAATTCCCAAGACAAAACGTGACCGAAATTTGACCTCCACTTCGTTGCGGTAATTTCGACCTCCGTTTTGCATCGGGAATTAACCATTTTTTTTTGTACTTACTTTTAGTGCTCTATCTGGACTTATTAATTGTTCTGTTTTATAATCTTAGTTATACTTCTTATAAATACTTCCAATTAAATACATAGCATTTATTTCATAGACAGAATCGATTCGATATGACCCTTTAAATAATAAAATGATGACGTATTTTTATTTATAAGACAATTAACTTCCCCCTCTATTTTGTACTAATAAACCAGAAAACGGGTTGGATGTTATTTTTATTTTGACCTTCTTTATTTTTATCTTCTTACAGCCTCTTTGTACTGGATAAGTGTACGATCGTTGTATTGTCAACATCTGCAATTATGATAGTATGAAGACCCACTTTAATTTGGTTAATAATGCCTTGTAAGTTTGATTTGTTTTTACAAATCTTCAAAACATTTTATAGTAGGGATAGGAAACAGAGTTACTAGTTTATTGTGAACCTTTGTTAGATGCGCACATGGAGTGAATGCGACTTATTTAGAGACGACTGACGATAAGTTTTTCCGAAAAGAATGATTAACTTTGAAGATGTTGAATTTATATTCATAGTTTTTATTCCTTTAACAATATATATAGAACCAATTTATTCAGAGATTGTTGTTTTATCCCATGCTAGTTGCTAATAGATAAGTTGTTTGGTTTTATGTCGAATACAATGTGGAGGTAAATGAGAACTACGAACACTACAAAAATCAGAATTGTTGAAAAAGAAATGTTACGCCTTAGGCTGGACTCGAACCTAGGCCGGTTGAGACTTTACGAAAATTAATACCGCCTCACTAAACAGCTATCTTGCCTTTGTCAGTCTTTTATTCGTAGGTATGGAGCTACTATTTAAACGCGTACTATATATAGCAGGAAGATACTACTATGAGTACAGTCGTATTTTAAGTAAGACGAAAGATGATTTTATTTATTTATGCGCATTTGGTATTTATACTGTACTATTTAATAGGGCCGAGCCGGACCAAGGACGAGATTCAATAGCCGCTGTCTTTTATAACGCGCTGGCGTTACTGGCTTAAATCTAGGACGCGTCTGTAGCTTACGCGGTATCTTTGCTATGACCTGTGGATCTTCAGGACCGACAATACCCCCTTCCGAGACCATTGAGTGTCCCCACTCATTACTAGTTGTGTCCTTGTAGTTTGTAGTTGGCTTGGCTAAAAACTTCTTTGGAGTGCCCATACTTGCTGAATTACCATGGAATTTTGCTGGCAATAGCGGTTTTGACCTGTAGGTGAAACTTGATTCCTTTGGCAATTTGAATTTTTCTTTCGGTTGACTTGGGTAGTTTGTGGGTACACAAATAGGTACTGCTACTGGAGTGGCCTTGGTTGGCATTATTTTTGTAGGTGTGACACGTTTCTTGGCCTGTTTTTGTTTTAAAAAATCGACACTACTTTGCATTTTAATTGCGTGTGGACTACCAGGTGTAACTAGTTTTTCCTTTGATGAGCTGGCTACTTGTGCTACGGGCTTTTCCTCAACTTGTGCTGCTACTGGTGCTGCTTGAGTGTGTGATATGCTGTCCTCAGTAGTTTCTCTCCTAGCTGGCTTACTCTTGGGTGATGAATGGGTCGATTCTAGACCTTGCGAGCTGGCTTCAGAAATGTGTTCATCGATGATATTGTCACCAGAAGATATACTTTCGTATCCATCTAGGATATGCTGAAAATCATTACTACCAGTAGCTCCCTTCTCTTCATCCGGTCTATACGATGATGATAGTGGATCGTATTGCTTGATGGTATCTTGCTTTACCTCGGTATTTGAATACAACTACCTCGTCCATGTTACTTGCCTCCATAGCCTCGAACCATTTTTCTTCTTCATCTTGGGTTTTTGTGTGACCCGCCCGTCTCGAAGCATCTGCTTGTTGATTCACCACTTCAGGTTTGTCCTCTGATGAATCTACCACAGGTGATTGATGGGGATGAGCTGCTGACATATTTTGGTTGCTTGGTGGTGTTGGTATTACAATTGGGTCAACATGATCTTGTTTGTTACGATTTGGCACGACAACATGGTGTCCCCCTCCTCCTCGACCACTACGTGTGGATGTAATTTCTTTGACTACCGCGCGACTAGTGGTAGGGTTGTACCAATCCTCAGTAGGTTTAGGACCCTTAGCTGGCTTAAGACGATCTTTGTGAATCAATGACTTGAGAGGTTCACCTTGAATAGTTTCCAATCTGCACGTACCATACCCATCTAAGACTTGAGTGACTATATATGGACCTTTGTAATTGGGCTCCAAACCAAATTTTCCCTCGTGAGAAACCAGCACCATATCCCCTATTTCATAGTCAATAGGTTGTACAAGAGCATCCCATCTTTGCTTATCCTTCTCGCCCATTGCCTTTAACCTGAATTCTGCTGCTGCTCGATGCTGTTCTAACGATTCTAGCTCCCTTGCGGTTAAATCTGCGATAGTGCGTGGATCATTGATTGACTCGTTGCAAATATATGGCTGATTTGGATCACTTGGGAGATTAGGTTCTCGTCCGTAGGTCAAGAAGTATGGCGAAAAACCGGTGGTCGAATGCACACGTACACGGGTAGCCCAAAGAGCAGTGTCCACATAATCATCCCAGCGATGAATGCTACCTTTGACGTATTTTCGAAGCATACCCTTGATGATTGCGTTATATCTCTCTACCTTCGAGTTTGTTCGTGGGTGAAAAGCGGAGGTAAGCTTGTGATTAACGCCCACTCGTTTCAAATATGCCTCCACTAAGCCACTGCAAAAATTCTGGCCCCGATCCGTGATAATCTCCTTTGGACAGCCAAATTTCATGACAATTTCTTTGTAGATAAAGTCTGCTACTGCTTCTTTCGATGCGACTGGTACCGCTTGAGCTACCGGCCAGTTTGTTGTGTAATCCACTGCTGTAATCAACCATTTATTTCCGTTGACAGTCAAAGGTAGCTCACCTACAAAATCGATATGCCATCTTTCAAAAGCGTGTGGTACCGGAAGAGGGTGCATTGGCTCCTGATGCTTTACAATTTTCTTGCTATTAACTTGGCATGACGGACAAGGTGCAATCCATTCCTCGACATCTCGACGCATTGTTGGCCACCAGTATCTGCCCGTGAATAGGTTCATCATAGACTTGAATGAAGCATGCCCATAATCGTCGTGATATTTCTGAACTAAATCAGCTCGTTCGGAAAAAGGTATAAACTTGGCTTCTTTTATACAAAGTTTCTTATCTGCATCTTGGACTTTGATCTTTCGGAACACCAGATTATGCTTGACTACGAACTTATCACGCTCTTTCAGTAATAGATCCTTGAGTTCAGCATCTGATGCCTTCTCCTCCCCTTTATTGATATAGAGCAAAGGCCAGTCCGCAACCATCCCCGGTGATAATCGATCCCATAATGAGTACAAATAGTCTGATTCCAAGGAACGTACTGATCCACCCTGGGTTGATACCTCAATCTCTGCTCGAGAAAGAGCATCCGCTACAATGTTGCTTGAACCGGGCTTATACTTGATGACAGGTGCATACATCTCCAATTCGCTGATCCATCGGATTAATCGTGGTGTAGGTTTTGCTTGCTGACGAAAGTAGACCAAAGGGTTATGATCCGAATATACGACATAACCTGCTTGACATCCATCTATGAAACATCTCCAAGTACGAAGCGCATGCACAATCCCAATAAGCTCACGCTCCTGGGCCGGAAATTTTTGTTCCTCCGCGGATAGCTTCTTCGATTCATACGCTACTGGATGCCATGTCGTATGTTTGCTGTCAACTGTTGCATGGATATCTTCTGTTGCTGGTTGAAGAAGCACTGCCCCAACACCAAAATCACTTGAATCCGTTTCGATAACAAAAGGGCGTGTCATATCCGGTACCTGAAGTACAGGTGCTGATGTAAGTAATTTCTTGATTTTGTCGAAACTCTTCTGGCACACCTCTGTCCAAGCTACAGCTCTCTTTTTGTGTCCTGTTCCCTTAGTCAGGTCTGTAAGCGGTGATGCAATTGAGCTGAAATTAGGTATGAATCTTCTATAATGTTGACTAAGGCCCAAAAATTGCCGTACTTGCTGTACCGTTTGAGGAATAGACCAGTCCCTTACTGCTGCTACTTTAGCTGATGAGGGTAATATGCCTTGGCCAGAGATTTCAAACCCTAAGAAAATTAATTTTTCTTTTGCAAAGTGACACTTCGCCCGGTTGACAATGAGTCCTGCACATTCAAATCTCTTTAATACCTCTTTCACATGCTCTAAATGTTCCTCTAGAGTGTTACTGTAGATAAGCACATCATCCAAGTATACGAGAGCAAATTTGTCTACGAAGTCCCCTAATAGATCATTCATCCAATTTTGAAAACTGGGCGGTGCATTGCTGAGTCCAAAGGGTAATACCAGAAATTCATATTTTCCATAACGCGTATTGAACGCAGTCTTCGGAACATCGTCTTGTTGAATTCGAATCTGATGGTATCCACTTTTTAAATCCAGACTGGTGAAGTAGCGAGCACCTTTCAATCTGTCCAAACACTCGTCAATTCTTGGCAGAGGACTAGAATTACGCAATGTAAGAGCATTAAGAGCCCGGTAATCTATGCACATTCTAAGAGTATTATCTGTCTTTTTTCTACAAAAGAGCACAGGAGCACCCCATGGTGATGAGCTAGGTTGAATTAGTCCAAGGTCTAACAGTTGTTTTAATTGTTTCTTGAGCTCATCCAGCTCCAACGGACTCATGCGA